GGGGGGAAGAGGTGTACTAATGCTGCTCTAAAGCTCGCAAACCTAAGGACTAGCTTATGTGCTCGCCGATTTAAGCACATGCGCCCACACCTTAGTATGTATAACAGAGGAGGTCGCTCTTGGTATCCATGACATCGGAGACGGGGATATCCTCGGCACCAACCAAGCCCATAAAGGGCATGATATCGGTAATCTTAGCGCGAGGGTTAGGCATTTCCATGGTCGAGTTTCCACCGGCTGTAGCGTTGCCGCTGTTGGGTGTCTCCAGACGCTCTCGGATACCGGAGTAATCCTTTAGGCGGGTGTCGCGGTCCTGCTCTTGCCAGAGAGCCCACAAGCGGTCGACCTGGGTGTGGTGCATGAAGAAGACGGGATCTGTTTCACAAAGACCAAGTTAGTCATGATCAAAGACTCTCTTCGAGGTGATGAAGTATGAAACTGCGAAGAAAGAAATGAACTTACCGTTGGGGGAAGAGGAGGGGCCCATGTCTCCCATTTGGCCACCGACGGCGCTGTGGATGGAGCCGTGAGGAACGTTCTCCAGCTGAAACTCGAAGGCTTCAAAATCGGGAAGCTTGTTCATCTCGGCGATGACCTCGGGTGTGTAGCCGGAAGCACGCATGTTACCAGGACGGTTCTCGCCATCGAAGAAGTCGCGAGACAAGCAGTGCTCGTTGGAAAGAACCAAACTGTAAGCAGGGCGGATGTCCTTGAAAGGTCCGCCCACCAGACACTTCCATTCACGGCCGTCGCTGGTCTTCTCGGTCTTGTCACCGCCGTTGCCGCCAACTCCGGTTTCAGCGTCCCAGAAATCAGACTTGGCAGTGTCCTTGGAATCCTTAACCCAGTCCCAGTACCTTTCTCTCGTGTCAGCTAGGCGTTAATTCGAATTTGACAAGGAGGAATCTTACACCATGGGGCCAGTGTCGCCACAAGCCTGGAGCTGCTTGTGGTAGAGATGGGTGAAGTATCTGTGCCAGGGTAGGAACTGCGCAACATAGTGAACTGTTCAAGCGCGCGAGCGGTCAACTGAGAAGCTCTCTACTAAAAGCCTTGGAATGCGATACGTACTTTCCCTGTTGAGATGGGTGTGCAAATAAGTGAAGTCATCGTACAAAGATGTCTTCAGGTTAATGCTTGAAGGCTTCTTTGTAAGGCACATAACGGCGTCGGTATATTCCTTGCGAAGGGTCTTATCCAGAGTACGGAACTCGACGCGCTTAACAGGATTGGTGCATCTCTTGGATTCCTGGCGAGGAATGGCAGTCGCGGCAACGAGGCCGATGAGCAACGGAAGAAGCGAAGCAAAATGCATCTTAGCGAAAGGATTCAGTTGGTATTGAATAAAAGAGCGTGGTGTACTGTAGATCGAAAACGACAGCCGGAAGAGGGAGCGTATAGGTTGGGAAATATAAGTAAGCGACAGGTACGGTTGTCAGAAATAAACTTGCATACCGATGGCGGGAGTCAGTCCCTTAAATAGTTCTGGACTAATGGTCTGTTAATTCCCTGAGTACCGCTGTAAGTTCCATGTGTACCCTCCACTAATCCGCCCAGCTGGGATGACAGCAATGGCGAATTGTGATGCACTGGAGGTCGACTCTGCATTTTTGGAAGTTCGCTTAAAGTTTCTTCATGGCACATAGTATCCACCTGCCGTGTAGTCGAATGAGACCATGAGAATTATACGGGAAAGACAAGAGCAAAGCTGGATGTGAGAACATCACGATGGAGATCTGCCAGGTACGCGAGACAAACCCCTGCAGCCCCTGGGACTAAAACAGAACAGAGTGGATAATACTAGGCAATACAAAGTAGTGAAATTCATCTGTACGGTTGTTTTCCTCCGAGCGAAGGGAATAAAGTGGAGTTTTCGGCTCATCTGAATAGGCGAACTCCCACGTGTAGCATGAACTACGCACGAGCCCCTTGAAGAATGCCGTTTCATATTCTTGGCGATACATGAACCACCTCATGCTGACCAGTCCGATCGCTTCATGATTTATCGGAGAAACTCACCTTCGTGTAGTTTGTAGCTCCATGATTATGCCAAATCTATAAGCCAGGGTGACATCACAGCATGGACTAACTCACTGTCATTGGGCCTCGGAAGCTCGATACAAATGCTCAATAGGGGGTTTTGGGTCGCTTTTCGATGAGCCCTGCACAGTATCAGATGCTAAAGATAGGATAAACGAGTGACATAACCCGCCTTTCCGTGATGTTAACCTCGCTGTTGCGTATCTCCATCACAATCAGAGAGTATATCGAGAAGTCAGTGGCTCGATTTTCACTTGAGGAAGACTCAAGCTGACTACTGTGGCGCAAGAAGACCTGTGACAAAGGAGAATATTAAGCAATGGAGGTGTGTAAATTAATAGACAGGAGGTGTTAACTATTGCTCTAGGTGCCGAACGCCGCCGAGAAGATGGGGGTCGGGATCGCGCGGTGGGCTAGACAAGACGAGTAATGACAGGAGAAGGTGCTGAAAAATTGGAAGTCTTTGGAATGCATGGGTCTTGTTTAGCACATTCTTTGTACAGGTGCATATGGGCGACCGTTCAGTACGCTCCTAAAGACGACAAGGCAAAGCCAACGCAAGAAGGCCCTGTCTCTCATGTTGACGGACTCACTCAATAATTGGCCAGTCAGTAGTATGTACTGAGTAACTTGACTCTGGAAAAGGGCCGCCCGTGAAATGAAACACAATAGATGTCGGTTGGTCCTGACGGGATTTGGGGTCACCGGGACCAATTAATGGGGAAAGATTTTTTTATTTGGTGAACTTTCAGTTGACTACCGACGAGATACGTACTATAGATACAACTCTCATATTACTACTCGTTCTAAGAAGTTGCGATGTATTAACATGAACAGGTATAAAAACGCTGGAACCTTTATTCCATTCAATTTACAAAATTTGAAACCGCCCCCACGCAGGTATTTATAGAGAGTGATGTCATGTCCTATTATTACTCTTCATTTGTTCGTTACCTACCCTAAAGTGTATTTCGCGCTCCAGGCTCGGCACACCTTCGGTAGCTCTTGCAGTATTGAATTTTGAAAGTGGGGTCACATCATTTGTGTGGAAGTGATTAGGCCACAAATGGAAGGATGTGGGGCACTTTGGCCATATCACCGAGGCCTTCGAGCTCGAAGTCATCCAACTCCTTAGAATTCTTATTATACTCACTAACCCTAATAATGCTATCATCACCAATGTACGCAGCGAAAACCTTTTTATTGCATGTTAAAGTTGTGCACTAATAGTTGAGTTACCGCAGAACTCACTCTATCTTTGGCTGTGGCGTAAGCCGCAGTTGAACCCTCCCTCAATCCAGTGGCAACCACCCGCTGGTCCTTGAGCTCCTCGCCATCATAGACCCTCTCAATCATACGACGGCATTGGATCTGTAGGAAAGTAAGGTCACCGTTGGGAGTGGAGTTAAGACTCGCAGAGCGAAGAGCACGGGCGATAGTTCTGACTTCACCGCTCATAATGAGTTCTGAGATCTCAAGAGGTGTAGTAAGATGAGTGTTGTGACAGAGGGATACAAAGAATGTAATTTTAACACTACATTTTAATATTGTGACATTGGCTCCTGATTTATGGCTACGGAAAAGAGCATCGTCACACCTCGTTGTCTCAGTGCAGATTTCGACGAACAAGAAAGCCATCCAATCACATAACTGGGAGGCGTCCCGGTCTAAGACATAATCTATGCTTTAACTTCGATACTGCGAGGTAACATCATCTTGTCTATTAGCTCTCTGTATTCCTGTCCTCGCTAGATACTATAACCTTGCAACGTACAGTGCTTATCTTCTCTTAGAATCTTCTCTTGTTATTACGTATAACTATAGGACCTTGCATAAACTAACCCTATTGGTTAATACTGTCCTTAGCATGCAGGTTTCCTAAAGAGAGAGATTAGCATGAAAAAGGCTGGCTGAGTGGGTGGCCTCCATCTTGGCTTTCTTACTGAGTTATTGCTAGCACGGCATGGCCCTTGCCTGAGGGGCCGTAGTGCTTCCATGAGAAGCTCAACGAGGGAAGTGATCAGCACCTTGTCAAAGCTAAGCTCACTAGGTGCATGCCTAGGCTAGTAGAGGCTGTTAATCTGATAAAAGCGGACGCATTACTTCCAATGAATTGCTGCCTCCGGTAGATGATTAATAACCCGGTGAAGCTGAATGCACTTATAGGTAAAGTAACCTTGAGCAGGGCGTTGCTGATGGCAAAGTTACCGCTGTGCTCAGCGCTACGGTAGGAGGCATTCGCCATAGGTTAAGAGTCAGCTGCAATCACCAGGGATCTGTTGTCCAATGTGAATAGTTAAGTTCTAGTATGCGTAGTAATCTACTAACTGTACATGGTAAGAATTCCAGTTATCAGTTTTCTCAGTTAAGTATACCACTCGGTGTTAGTGTTCAGTATGTAATGAATGTATTGCATGTAATAGAGAAGGTAACTGTAGATAAACGAATTGAACAGGCCCATGGTAGGTCTTGGGTTCATGTCAACCCTTGATCACCTAACCATCTAAGACTCCGGAATACCAGACCAGCTGATAACTGGTATTCTTGGATTATTCATCTAGCATGACTGCTTGCGGAGAATGACGTTAAAGTTGGCATCATGGAAGCGCTGTCCAGAAGTCCACCAAGCAGTATCAAGACCGCAACCAAAGCAGAATCTACGGCACTCGTTGTTGCAAGCCCTAGCTGCATTGGCAACATTGTCCCAAGACGGGATATAAAATGGAGTGCGGTTCTGAGCGTCCTGGTCAGCTATTGGTCTCCTCTGGGATAGGAAGAACTTACATCGTTGCAGATAAAGATGCCCGCATCGTTGCTGCAGCTAATTCTGTCGCAGGCTCCGGGACCCGCGCGAACTGTCAAGCTGCCACGAATGCCGCGCAAATACTGGATTCCCTCACGAATAGGCCCCTCCCTAGCGGATGGGAAGATCCAACAGAGGTTGTGATCACGCTTTTGTAAACGATCGAGAGCCTGGGCCTCAGGAGACGGAGCGTCATCAATGCCCGACTCCTCCTCAGCCTTAATAGCAGCGTCGATCTCCTTCTGAGCCTTGCGGGCATACTCAGGGTAGTCAACTTTGAGCTGCTCCATAACATCTTGGATGGTACCCTTGAACTCAACGGGGTCCTCACCAGCCACGACGGCGATCTTCCAAGTAGGGGTGTCTGCATTCTCAAACACACTGTCACTAAGCACCTTTGTTGCTGGAGCAGCAGAGACAAGAGACTGATGAAGAAACAATGTCAGATATAAGCAGATATTTCGGGTTGCGATGGGTACTCACGAAGTTGGCGAGAGCCAAAACAATAGCGACGGCAGAACGCATGATGATTGAATGGGATTTGAAGAGTGAGAACGGAGATCAGGTTACTGAGCGACTTGAGTGGTAGTTGCCAAGTATGGATGCAGATTGCTTGCGATGAGGAAAAGATAGAGTGGGAGATCAAGCCATATTTATAGACCATTTGCTTTACTCAATCTACGGAGTCCCATATCAAGATGCGCTACCGAGTGCACTTCAACGTATAAACAGAAGCCCATCTACGCAGCCGAGAACTAGATTATCCACTATTAGAAGCTTCACGGTTGGGATCAAAATCCAATAATTCACCAAGTCCTGTGTCTAAGCACATCGCCAAGTAAATCCATCTCTGTAGCCGAGAGGTCGACTTTCCAGTAGCAGAAAGTACAACCCTGGGATGGAGTTCCTACAATTGTAAACAATCCACCAAATCCCACGTCGGATACTACGCGAAGTAGGCTGCCGTACGAAAACGGAACTACCCGAGTCGCCAAGCCCTAGATTGTCCAGTTGTGGAAGGTATAGACCTAGGATGGAGATCCTACAGGTGTAAACAGTCCACTATATTCCGAGTTAGATACTGCGCCTAGCAAACTTCGCCGTAGAGGATGAGATCCTTCTATGTAACAAGAAGATACGGACAGCTTTACCAGCAGTAGTAACCTTAGGCTAGGTCCAACAATTGCCGCAGTTTCTGGAGGGCTGCCGATGCGCTATTGCGACAAAGACCCGGGTCTCTACTTTTTTTACCTGGGCATTCCTTCGATAAGCGTTGAGATAAGAAGAGAGGATCACGGCTCATGCTGTTAGGAAGGTGAAAGACTGGAGCCCTGGTATCAGCAACCACTGACAATAAGCTCAGAATTAGAGTTGCATAAGTCCGTATCAGAGACCATCCTACTCCGTAGGATAATTGAACGCACGTGGGGCTGTAACTGGTCGAGCATCTGGTCACCGTATAACTTGCTTGATGGAACAAATAGCTCACCGCTTCCTACTGTGATAGAGCATCTCTTGTGCTAGCGTAGGCGAGTTTGGACAATAGGAATTTGATGAGTAATGTAAGGAAGTCTTCTGGATCGTCTACGTTATCTCCTACTGTTGTCCTTTACTGGGACTTGCCCGTCACTTCCGTCGACTTTCCCCATATCATGTAGAGTGTGATTTGGAAAGTAGAGAGGTAGCTAGACATCCGTCTGAAACAAATGCAGAAGAAGAACGCTATGGCTGATACAACGGACATGGCAACTAGGGTAAACGTCAAAAGACAAACGTAGATCAGTTCACGCTAGACAGATCATAGAGGCAACTCAGCTCGAACATAAAACTTGGCCAGGTTATCTATGCAGCATAGTCGGGGTCAAACTGCTCCGCGATGCTTTCCAAAATGCGATGCCCCCACTATCGCATATACCAAAAGCATTCTAACGTTTCAACCAGTATAGGGAAGTGAGCTGATATGACCAGTACTTGAGGATTCGGTCTCTCGACCCGCTTTGTAAGGCCATGTTCTGAGAACCATGGCCATAGCATGATAATAGGCGTTTCCCATGCGTAGCTTCCTGAGGCTGTTCAGCGGTTAGAAAAACATCACCAAAACAGCATACAAGAGCCTCACGAGTTTCGTATAGATTTAGAGATTTCCAAGGATTGAGAATTGGAGATCATTGCACTTACGTCAGAATAAGGTTTGCTCCAAGCAATGTATTCAGTTCTACCTATGGGTGGTTGTATATTTGATGCGTTTTTCTGGAGGAAACGACCAATGGGACCTGGAGATATCGCATCTAAGCGAGTTGGTCCCGACGAAGAGGCGAACGCTGCGAGAGAAATTCCACCAAGCGGTTTCAGTACCATCAAGTAGTCAAGAATGTCGATCTTTTTTGACTGGCTTGGTAAATGCGTACACAAACAAGCATATTGGCGGCGTATAATGCTGAGCAATTCTATCGCTTGATTCGAGGATGCAAGCACGTGCCATGAGACAGAGCTGTAGAATGATGGTTTATTGCTTGGGGGGCTCGACTCGAAGCTGCGGGGTAGCGAGTGTTGAGAGCATCCCATGCAAGCCGGCTCGGTCTCATCGCATGATACATAGCATTAGATCGTGTTAGAGGGCGAGAATATTCATAATAAAACAGAAATTTATCCTTCGCCGCTTGCAGTTTTAGTAAGCATTTCGAGAGCAGTTGAGAGACCTGTGTTGGGCAGGATGAAAGAGACAGACCACACAATAAGGGCACGTTCAGTGTTTTGTATCTTGCTTAATGTAATATCAGGAACCGATCTCAGAGTATACTTGTTTTTTGCATATTTGATACGATGTGGAATTTCTTTTCGTTCCAAGAGTTAAAAGATAGAAAAAAGGTTACTAACACGCTAAACTATTGCAGGCGCTGGAACGTTTTACCTTGAGTAGTTTGTGGCGAAGCTGCATTTGTCGTATCCGATAATTATGATGCCTCGCGACCCCGATTTCCACCAACACGAAGAAAATGTCATTTTAAGAATACAACCTGGCGACTAACAAGAAGATTATCCCCCTCAGCTTAAACTACCATAATAAAGTAGCCTAGAATCATATCTAAGATGGCATAAACGGGCTGAATTATTCCGTTTCTCATGCCACCAGGGGACCAGTTCTTCTATTAGACCGAGAGAAGGGTTCGTAATACAATGATCCTAGACTTGCGCGATAACATCACCCTCCCCTTTACGCAATCATCAAGCCATACGTGCAGATAACCCCTTCAACATGGGACGCGTTCCGTTCCGATTGGAGCGTCAAGTAATTGCGTTGTTTTTACGGGTATCCTGTACTGTTCAACCAACAGCGACAGGGGGTCCAAGCAGGGGGGCTCGTCATGATGTTATTAACCGAAGAGCGCATCTTGCAATTCCAGCATTTCTAAAGTTTTCTCACTTTCTTTATCTTTTTCTTCCCGTGTATAACCTCTCTATCAATGGCTATCGAACCCACCCAGGAAGCCGGTCGTCCACCTGCGGCCTCAGATGATTCTGCCCCCACTATGGGTACCAATCTAGCAAACAATGATCTCGAGGTCGATGTGAGTTATTTATATCACGCATTGCAATTGTTCATCATAACTGACTACTCTCATAGGACGATGTTGACTCTGTATTGGATTCCTCGTAAGTTGATTGCCGCTATCCTCCGATTAATGCATCTAATCAGTGTCCAAGGACTGGGACTTCAAGCTTCATGACGTCGCTGAAGTCGAGCATATACAATTACCGGTACGTTATGAATGTCTCGTTCTGACTTGTTGGGGATTTCAACTCACATTAATGGCTTGTTGTAGATTCGAGGTGAGTCGTTGACTCCGAGCGGGAAAATGAACCTGTCACTGATGAGCTGCAGAATGGACGTCGCTATCATGCATTCCGAGAAGGATCCTATCCCATGGTAAGTAAAATAGCTGCCAAGATTGACCATCTTATGTAACAATTTTTTTGGACAGCCCAACGATGAAGATGAGCAAGAGCGTATGGACCTGGGACATCATATATACAGCCTAGTTCTCGAAGGAAAGCTTCACCTTGCTCCAATCGGTCCCAATCCCCAGCGGGTACTTGATCTGGGAACTGGTACTGGTATATGGGCAATTGACTTTGCAGAGTGAGCTCATGTTGAAGTGCCTGAGATCAGAACAACTTGTGCTGATTGCCAACAGCGAGAATCCATCATCAGAGATCATCGGGAATGACCTTAGCCCCATCCAACCCGAATGGTATGTAAACAACCCTACGGGGCGATATTCAATTGACATGAGTCAGGAACCCACCAAACTGCACTTTCGAGGTCGACGACTTTGAGGATAACTGGCTCTACCAAGTAGGCTTCGACTTTATCCACGCACGGGAATTGGAGGCATGTATTGCCGACCGAGACCGCCTTTTGCAGCAGGCATTTAAGCATCTAGTACCAAAGGGTTATTTCGAAATCCAGGTGGTTGATGCAGAGTTCTTGTGCGATGACGGAACCATCGAGAAAGCACCAAACACCCAGCTCTATATGAAGAGTATCTGCGAAGCATGCGCCAAGTTTGGCAAACCCATTGATGGAGGAACCGAGTGGAAGGAAAAGATGGAAGAAGCAGGTTTTATAGATGTCCATCAGGAAATTCGCAAGGTTTGTGTCCTTTCTCATTGCAATGATTTGTTCTAACATTTGTAGGTGCCGATCGGACCATGGCCCAAGGATGCAAGACTTAAGGAAATCGGCAAGTATCAGGTTGTTCAACAGCTCAAGGCTATTGATTCATATACTCCAAAGCTCTTTGAGCATGCACTTGGTTGGACAGCCCAGGAGATCCAAGTCCTTATAGCCAAGGTTAAGACGGAGCTTCAGGATCCGTCTATTCATCTGTATCTTCCTGTTGTTATAGCTTGGGGGAGAAAGCCTTGAGTTAGATGAAAATGTACTAGGCTAGACTTTAAATGACAACAGGCCTTTTGCTTTAATACCTTCCAGTACCTAGTTTAGCTTCACCTTGAATGCCTTGACATTCTTCCCACTGACCTCCACTGCACTGCCTTTACCGGACCAGGAAGTAAGCTGAACTTCAAGCTTCTCATGAGGTAGAAGAGTGAAATAATTATCTGACCAGGTCAACGGAGTCACATCGTTCCCATTCCCATCCACAGCGTTGAGCTGGATGAACACAGCAGGCACTGGAGAAGTGTTTTTAACCTGGAGCTTCCACTCGCCAGGGTCGCCGCTCTTGGACGATATAATTGATACTGCAGCTGGATCCATCTTGCTCAGAGCAGTAAAGTTGGCTGACTGCTTGACGTCGCTGTAGTACCATGTCGTGCTGCCCCAGTTCACTACATCGTTTTGTTCGGACAACCAATATGTGTTCCGGCTTAGCACTTTGTCACCGCCATCTTCCACCAAGGACAGGCGAAGAACCCCGACATCCTTAATCTTTCCAATTGCGCTACTGATATCGCCAATTTTGAGAGACTTGATAGGCTCTGTGGTAAAGCGCATCGTTTCACGAAAGAGACGCTGTCCTTCCAGATCCACCAATTCGACGTGGACTGACCGTGAACCTGACTTTTTGCGAGAGTGGTTGATTGCCCAGATAGTATTGTTGAAGTAATCAAAGGCAACGTGTTCAACCCGATTTGCTATCTTGGTACCAAAATATGATCCAGCTGGATGAAGATAATAGTCAAATTGGTTCCAATGAAGACTTGGCCAGGCGTTGTTTAGCATCCAGTAAATCAGCCCTGTGGCCGGGCGTGAAGCGCTCCATTGACTTCCGAAGCCTTCGAACTGAGAGCGAGTTGCTTCATAGTCCATCATTTGTGCGCTGATAAGATAGTCATCCAAGGACGTAGGCTTGCCGTATCGTTTGAACAATGCCTTGTTGTAAATCGACCGATCATGAAATTGTGATGTGTTTTGCGACATATGATAGAGACCCTTGTTTGGCTTCTCCCACAAGTCTTGCATGTCCTGGCTGGTCAGAAACTTGGACAGACTCCCTTTAGTGGGCGTTCCGACACCTGCGCCTAGCTCGGACCCAAATCCAAAAGATGATCCAAACCTCTTGGACGTTGGCTCTCTGTCATACCAGTAGACTGGAGGGACCCAGTCGTATGGACCTTCCATCTTCATTCCCGATGGGCCGAGAAGCTTTGGATAACCACGCTTCGCAGCAGACGAGATGATAGGAACCTGCCATCCAGCATCCCGTAAGCCTTCGACGTAGATCTTGGTAGCTCTATCGTCTGGCCAGTAGTCGCTCCCTACTAAGAAAGCGATAAGACTTGGGTGCGTTTGCATCATTGCCGCCTCATGCCTTATGGAAGCATTGACGGTGTCGTAATCAGCGTCGTACCACTTGGGAGGAGGATCCTGGGATAAGTCGTGATTGTATGGCCAACTTTCCCATCGATCGCAACACTCCCAGCCAACCATCAACAGGACTCCCAGTCTGTCTGCAACATCATATAGCTCGGGCTGTTCCATCTTGCCTTCGAGGCGGATAGTGTTCATACCCATATCCAGAACATAGCGTGCTATATTCTCAAAGCGCTTAGCGTCCCAGCAAAGGAACATGTCGGATGTATAGCCCCCGCCTCTGATCTGTATCGGATAGCCATTGACTTTGAACAGGGTATCATTATAGGAATTGAGCTCGGAGGTGACTTTTCGAATGCCAAACTTGGTAACGGGGCTTGAATCCGAAGTGTCGGATCCGATAGAATAGGTTAATTGGGCTGAATACAATGGCTGTTCACCCCACCCTGCCGGCCACCACACCTCGGGATCCTTGACTTTTTCAGAAAGCTCGACCATAACTGACTCTTCAGCTGCGAGTCGGATATGTTTAGTGATGGTCTTGAGGCTTTTCCCGTTGGGAGTTTTGATCTTGGCTGTCGCGACAAACTTGATTGGCTTCTTACTCAGGTTTCGAGCTTGGGCACGAACAGTAATTGCTGCTTGGTCGATCTCGCCGTCATCGGTGGCTGTATCAAGGTTTACAAGGACGCTCATAGGACCCATGAACACATCTCCTGCCTGTTTAACAGTAATGTCCCTCCATATGCCGGTGCCATTGTCGGGTGGATACGGGTTCCAGTCGACAAAACCGACGGCGAAGTCATGCTGATAGTTCGTCGGATAAACCTTGACCACGAGAGCATTCTCCTTCCTAGCAAGACTGGTGATATCATATGTATGGCCGCCGTAAGAACCTGATTGGGTGATATTGTCGGCGAGCTGCTTGCCATTGAAGAACAAATCTGCAGCGGGTGTGATTCCGTTGGTTTGTAAGAAGTAATGGTGCTTGGGCTTCTCTTTCCCAGCTTCCAACTTGAATTGCTTGCGATATACCCAGGGGACATGGAACATGCTGTCGTCGAAATGCGCAAGGTTGTCGGAATACCAGAGACCATCAGTCCCGTCCAAATCGAACATGCCTTCTTCTAGAAGACATGCCATCAGCGTGCATCTGGACACGGAGGCATGGTGCCAGGAAGAGGTATCGGTGTCTGGCAGAGAAAGCGATTTGAGGCTTCCAGACACTTTGTTGATCTGCTGAAAATCCCAGTCGGGAATCGCATCTTGCTGCCCAACGATAGTGGCTAGTGGTCCACGATGGACAGCGGCGTTGGCCGTGGCAAAGAAGAGCAGGAGGCAAGTAAGCATCATTCGGACAGCCATTCCTTGCCTCTACAGATAGCGTAGTAAAGTGATAGCAGACCCGAGTGACAAGATCCTTTGTAATAAACGGGGGATACCATAGCCTAACTCTATCTATAGAAATTGCTACGTTACTTCGAAATGCACATGCTACGTTGCACCAAAGCCTCTTTCGTCTATATTACCGGGTCATCGGTTGCACCAGACGATAATTGTCAATCTGCATAGAGCGTGAACGGAGAAGCTCCCCGCACTTACCCAACCGGAACAGAGCTGCCCGCGCCGCTTCTTCCCCGCAGAAGATCGTCCGTCGATCTTTTCTTACCACAAATCATACGATCATGTTAAAATTAGCTCACGTTCCGTCCCGTCGCGGAGACTTGATTTGAGAAAGCTAGGCACCAAAACAAGGAACCCGGAGGCTGTGGTTGGGTTGCATTCTAGGTGTATATAGAGCATCAATATTGATCACAACCGTCTCATACGCTGATTCCAAACTTATGAATACTGATGTAGTCTAATCAGAGCTTGGCAGTAAGCCTAGTATCCTTGACAATGGTATTTCGCTTGGTGCCGGCAGTTCCACCTTGTAATTTTCGCCTGAGAATCTTACCCGCTGCACTCTTCGGTATCGCAGCCACAATCTCAATCTCCTCAAGCCACTTGTGTCGTGCCGTTTCCTTCTTCACATGCTGGAATATCTCCTTTGCAGCATCAACTGGCCTCGACGACTGCGACTCCACGAGGACCACAAACGCCTTGGGCCGCTCACCAGCAAGCTCATCGGGAATTCCGCACACAGCGACATCGTCAACGTGAGGATGTCCGAGCAGAACATTTTCAAGTTCTGCAGGAGCAACACCAATTCCCTTGACCTTAATCAGCTCCTTCAACCTGTCGGTAATAGACAAGAACCCTTCCTCGTCGATGTGCCCTATGTCACCGGTATGCAAGAACCCGTCTTTGTCAAAGGTCTCTGCAGTCGCTTTGGGGTTATCGAGGTAACCCATCGCGACTTGTGGCCCACGAGCCCAGACCTCACCCGGCTGATGGACCTCACAGTCCTTACCAGTCTCAACATCCACAATTCGCAGTTCCGTTGATCCTACCAGCATGCCGACGCGGCTGGCATACTTGTATGCATACTTGGTAGGTGGATGAGCGACAATGACTGAACACGACTCGGTCATTCCGTAGCCTTGCTTGAAGCCAGTCCCTGGGAAGGCTTTCTCAAGGAGATGCAAAACCTCTTTAGACAGCGGCGCAGCTCCGGACGAGAAGCGTTCAATGTGGGATAGATCGTACTTTGCCGCTGTCTTTGGCTCGCGAACAAGGCGGATAAGGATGGGAGGGACCATGAGAACTTCTTTGATCTTGTTCTCAGATATCGTCTGCAATAGTGAGTCCAGCGTGAACTTGGACAGCACAAAGACATTGGCGTTGAGGTGGATTGGCAGGTGCAATTGATGTACTATGCCAGTGATGTGATAGAAGGGCAAAGCTGCGAGAAATCGGTCATGGCTAGGTAGCGTGAAGTTTGTCACTTGGATGCATTGGGCGATAATGTTGGCATGTGATATCATGACCGCTTTTGGGAGGCCAGTAGTGCCACTGCTGAAGCAAAGAAATGTGCAAACATCACGATTTGTTTTGCCTTCAGGTATCTCAAACGCGGGTACTTCACGACCACCCGCCGGGTGATCAAGGAGCATCTGTATGTTGGTGCTGTCCTTGATTGAACCTTCCAGCAGGAGGACATTTTCTCGAGGAATTCCAACTTTGGCAGCGGCGGTGTGAGCTTTATCGATGTTATCAACCGTTGCAAAGATTGTTCTTGCTTTGCTGGTCTTGAGGCTGTAAGTAAGCTCATCAACGGTGTATTCCGGTGATACTCCGCAAGCTACAGCACCGACGCGGATCGTGGCGAGAGTAGCCACAGGATACCAGATGGAGTTCTTGCCATAGACGATAATGGTGTCATTCTGTTTCAGCCCATACTCTGTCACGAGAACTGACGATAACGATGTTGCGTGATCTTTGACATTTCGGTAAGTGAGATGTTTTTTGGTGATAGCATCGGTGAAGCCTGGAGCATTGGGTTCAGACGAGAGTGGCTTGGACTCTAGGACCCATGACCACAATGTCTGTTTTGGCGAGACTGCGAAGAGTTAATTGAGTGGTACAATAAGTCATATGTATGTCCTTACAGGAGATCTCGGGGTACTCTGACTGGTGTATCATGATGGATTTCTGGAGTTTGCAAAGAACAGGTTACAGTTGATTCAATGACGAACAAACGCAACAGAATGCGGGGTGTGATTTATTGGCGATTGAACGGTAAAGCTACAGTGGAGCCCCCCGCAAAGTCAACTTGGCACTAGCATCGGCTAAAGATCCGCAGCAAATCAACTGCGGTTCTGGGTTTTTAGCCCTCGCTACTAAATTGCCTCGGTTCCAATATTACCTGTTGTGGCCTGTTTGTGACGAACAAACCAAGTTCCAAAAGCTTTCTAAGAACCTGAGCTAGATGATCAGCGGCTTCTGGTGCTATGGATGGGCGGTCGGATTGTGACGCAAGTGAAGAGGAAGATGTTGCCTAATGGCACAACGACGCTTAATGGAACAGGGGTTTGTTCTTGCGCCTGTTCTTACAGCAACGTCAAAGTCCCACGCCTGGGCCACATCCAGATGGATGTAAAGTGTTCCGTTGGAACAAACCAATTGTCTCATACCACAGCGATTGTCCGTAACGCTGTACGCTAAGTTATGCCTACGAATCACAGCAAATTGCCATTGTTCACTCTATCTTATGTACTGTTGAATGGAATATCTCTTGCTTTAATAATAGCTCCAAGATACCCACAGACTATCCAGGCCTGAGAGACATATAAATATCCTCTTCTTATGTCACCTATATCAGTCATTTGCTACAATAGCAATAAGAATTCATCGTCACATAACCCGTTTCCTGCTATTTGCGCGTTCGTAGATCTGGTATCTGCAAAACCTGAAGTAAGGTTCATTCGATAATACAACACTCACTCCATTGCTTCACAAAACAACATGGATCCCTCAGCAGTTGAGTACTGGCTAGAAAACCTGATGGAGAGGATTGAGTCCGAGTCGGAAATGGGCGACATCTCCATCCAAATGCTTGATGATGAGTATGGTATAGACCTGCCCCTCAGACGGTACACCAATGACAGGATCGGTCCCAGCGTTTCTAGACTGGAGGAGACGACTTACGCAGAGTATGTTGCGTTCCTGGGTTGGAGACTCAAAGGATACAATGCAGTTCGTCTTGAATTGTACCTCAAAAAGCTTGGACCAGATATTTCTAGCACCTCTGGCGACGAGGATAGCTCGGATGATAGAGAGCTGTCTCAATCCCCACCAGACCATGAGCGGCCAACACTGTACAAACGACGCAAAAGGACCAGTATCTCAATCCTTGACGCTACCAAGCTGGACTGGGTGCGCAAACTTGTAAAGGAAAGGTACAAGAAGGTAACAAGGCCTGTCAAGCGGCGAGAGGATGAAGTTTTCGATCTCTACATAAAGGTTCTGGAGCTAGACTCAGACTCAGAACCCCACTCAACTAGGGAGGTCCCACAGACCTTCAAGGACTTTGTATTTCTCAAGGATCGTGACTGAATGCTTCTATGCTACTGACTTCTAGATCGATAGATGTTACTCTGGTCAGAATGGTGTTGCATTGCATAGATGCTGTATCACAACAGATGTAGAATAGTCAAGGTAAACAACCAGCGCAAGTCAATTAGTGCTAGGAATACTAGACAGACCGGTTCATCAATACTACAGAACTTGAGACATTCCATTCCGCATCTCATGCAAGTAAAATAAATATCTAGCAATTTTAGAACTCTAAAATGCGATAACTACCTTTTTGCCACCTGTCCCTGCCCGCACCTTTTCCAGCCTTTCAGCGACACAGTCTAGCCCGCCTTCCATTACATCGGCTTCTGAAGTTAATTTGTACTCTCCAAGCTTGAAAGCTTCAGTCAAGTACGAAGCTAGCTTTCCTTCAGTATCCCACTCGATGATGTCCGTCCCAAACACAAACTTGCTTTGAACCCCACTGCTCAAGACCTTAAAGCGGTTTGTTCCAGTCAGCCAAACGTACTTGGCAACAAACGGTATCATTGAGAGCTTGCTTGTCGGTTGCGACTTTGGCATGTCGATCGTGACTTGTGAAATGTTTTTCACAGCCCCAGGAATTTTGGTGACAACGTCGATGCACTTCGCCAACGACCCCTGGCCAATGGCGACAGCACCTGCACATTTCTTGTCCTGGAAGGCAGATAATATATCTGCTGTAGCTGATGGGCTGCGGTAGTCAAAGACTGCGGAGGCACCAAGATCGTGTATTCGATCCCAGTTCTCGGGCGACGCAGTGGCGATCACATTATAACCGGCCGCTACAGCAAGTTGCACAGCATTCTTGCCCACGCCTGTGCTTGCTCCCCAGATCAGAACTGTCTGGCCGGTTGGACTATTCTCTGCCTTGATCTCAGGAAGTTGAAGTGCCAGTTGGTCTTTCTGAAAGAGTGCACATGCAGCTGTGACTGACGTAAGGGGCAAAACACTTGCATCGGTGTATGTCATCCCCTGAGGAATATGAACAGCTAAGTGCTCTCGTAAGATCACAAAATCCTGAAAAGCTCCTTCGTCAGGCTGTCTACCTCGCTTATCCATTCCCGCTGTAACACCCACAACTCTGTCCCCCTCCTTAACACGCGTCACTCCCTGACCTGTCTTCACGACTTGGCCAGCGACATCATAACCGAGGATAAGAGGATATGTGAGCCATTCGAACATCATGTTCCCCATGGACTGTTTGACTGCATCGACTGGGTTGATAGCCACCGCTTCTGTTTTAACGAGGATTTCACCTGGACCTGGTACTGGCATAGGTGCTTCTCTAACTTCGATGGCAGGCCCATTGGGGCTGATGAGGTAGGCGGCTTTGTTAGAGACTTCCATTATGCTGAATATTGCGTTTGATAGAACGAAGACAGTATGAAGCTCATTTTTGGTTTTTCTTCTGTCCTTGGCATGCTTATATACTCTCATTTCCCTAGACAAACATTTTCACAGTCTTCATTGTACTTTCAGTCAGATGAAAGCGAATCCGAGTTACTGCGAGCAACTTACTGCTTTAGGACTAGACTCTGTCGGCCCGCCGTCAGCAGCCCAATCTTATCCCTAAGCGTACCCGATACCATTGGATAGCAAATGCTGACCCGCGACAATTTGAGACAGTGACCAATTGGAATGCCTGATCGGCGATGTTGTATTTAGCTTTCCTGATCGACTTCTCACCCTGAAGATCTGACTTCATGGCATTATGCTAAGAAGTCAGAACATGAAAGATAGATAACATTTCAAGGAGAGGTTTAATAAAATCACAATAAACTGTTTAGTACGAGGAGGGGGGGAGGCCACGTTTCCGGGGATCAGAATATTATAGCGAGCACGCAAAGCACTTACACGTTGTTATAGAGGTATTTGAGGGGCAAAGGCCTAGTTTTACACCGTTGGGGACATTTTCGAATCCTAATTAACTAGCTAACGAGCAGTCACGTCTCAGTAAGATCATGTGTGCAAGTTGACCAGACATTTCAAACTACCCATACCCTGTCTACCTGTTTGTCAGGACTTAGATGCTCAGTGCGTACAATTCCCACACCAATCCGTTGGTATGTCTCCTTGACAGCTTGGTTTCCTTTATAGAAAGGCCTGACAAGTAGGACACAACTCCATTGAGACCTAGGCCTTTGCAACTCATCCAAAGATGAATGATCCTCCTCTAAAGTATTAGAAACTTGCCCAACAATAACGCTACGCAAGTCCCTGAGATCTTCTTCCTCATCGGGATTATCGCGCCTGATCCAAGCGACTACCTCCCCTCCATGAGTCACTTCCTGTTGCATCCTGCCACACCTTACAACACAGTTTTTAGTAAGCAGCAACACTGGTACAAGTATAGAAAATCGGTTTTCCTTGACTGGTGCAATCATTCCAGCATTGTTGAGTCTGATGTCGCTGCCCCACGTTATACACTTGGAAGATATAGTCCCTTGAAGCATTCCATAGCTGATGGCGCCCTCATAGCGCATCCATGACCATGATGGCACAAGATCGTGAGCGAAGTCAATCCTCTTCAATGGTAGGTCTCCTAAGCGATGCCAGAACAATGTCCTGCAGAAAGACGAGATCAAAACTCCGTAGAGGCTAATTGCTCTCATGGAAACTGCGAGTCGGGATTCTAAACCAAGGATTGCCAACGGTCGATCACTTTGCTTGGTGATTGCCAATCGTGAATAGTAGCTGAGGTAGTGCATGAATGCATCCGTTGGATCATCTCGCAAATGTGAGAAAGGGACTGGGAAAAGAGATTTAGGACCATTCAAACGTTGAGCCACTGCGGTAGAAAGGGAAGCACTGGCCCTGTGTAGAACACCCTGCATTAGCTTTGTTTTAAGTGTCATGGGAAACACTCACATTGCGATTGGACGAAGCCAATCATTGACACTCCCCCGAATCTTTATTTTACCTGTAGTCTCGCACCATACCCCAGCCTCACATTGAAAGTATGTTTGCGAAGCGGTAAAATGGATGTTTCTGGGTGATAGGGCGCGTTCCTGAAACACCCATGCTCGCTGGTTTAGGACGCTACTCTCCACATCATGTTTGAAGTTCGAAGGCAATCTTGTGAACCAAACGCCAATAGGGGGGTTATCATTTAAACTTAAAACCCTTACACTATTCTCAGCGGATCTGTGGAGGAACCCTTGGTGACATCCAGACGCTGAAGTGGCAGAAATAGTACAGTGCGCGAAAGAGAACACCTCTTCCATCTTTTTAGCTTCCCACTGCCAATCGTCAGGGTCATCCTGCACAATACAGAGCGAATCGATCCAGAGATAATGAATTCCAAGACCACGTGTTACCGCTACCGCATCTTGAAAAGTTTTCGGAAGTTGAAAGAACTGGATACCTTTTCGCCTTTCGTTAAGGTTCTCTTTTGTTGTAATAACCGGCTGAGATATGCCCCAGCGATGGGACAAGGCCACATATTTCGTACCAGGGCTGAGGCTATCGCGCAAACAGACTGTGCCTGTTCTGTCCAAATCACCAATATCTAGGAGCCTGCTTGGTGGGGGTAAGAGCTGATATGGTACGCTGTGGTCATGGGATTCCTGACATTGTTGAAGCCAGATACGAAGTAGGGAAAGATGGTATTCACTTCCTGCCTCAGGAAGAACAGCAAGCGACCCTATAGGGTGGGGCAACAAATGATATGGTGTTGAGATAGATTTGTTTTTGACGTCGATGGAAGCTGGCGAGACGAACTTGGCGTGTGGGACATGGTTAACCCTATGGAGGAACACTGGAGACTGAGACTCAAAGTACAAATCGAGAATCCTCTCTTCAGAGCGATCACCAGCTCCTGCAATCTCGTCTACCATCTCACAAAGCTTGCAAAGCCTTCTCCCTGATACTGATGCGTTGCTTAAAAGCCTGTATTTGATGGTCTGGAAGTGGAGCAATTTTTGAAACGGCGTATTTGCGCAGGAACTGCACAGCGAACCTCCAAACCCATTGGCGCCACTGAACTTATTCTGGGTTTGGATGTGCGGATTACTGACCAAACTCTGACTCAGGAGGGATGGTAATGAGTAAGGAGTGCAAACGCTCGGTGAGATGACAGTTAAGCGAATTCTTAGCGAATGAAGCCTTTGAAGCATCAAAACTCTAATGCTTGCGCGAGACCTTTTCATTTGCCCTGCCCTAGCATGAGGAGCGCTAACAACTTCTCTTCCGTTTGACGGCATTTGAGCTGCCGGCTCTCGATAGTGCTGCCAGACTGGCGGTCTTCTTGTGTACGACATTCTCCACTCCGGATCAAGATCAGACGGCAGCCTGGGCGGCTCCTTGGGTCCCCATTTCAGATATCCTTCGCCTTCAGCGGATGGATCGCTGGTTACTCTCCATGCCCCACATCGCCAAGGTTCGTCTTCTGGATCGTCCCTTTCCTCTCTGGATCTAAGATCCTCGCATCTTCCAACTTGCCATTGGAACATTCCCCAGGCCTCAAGCTGAGATAGATCTCGGTTGGACTTGAGGCACCTAATGAGTTCCTGAGCATCAGCAGCTGTAATAGCCATTGCAAAAAATAGACCTATATAGATTCAGAGCGTTACAGGGCGCAAAGCTTAATACAGATGTGTTTACTTATAGAGTATAAAGCAGCCCTAGGTTCACTTTAAGTGGGATAAAGGTAGGATCACTTAAATTGGATACATAGATAGATTTAAACACTGGAAGATGTCAGATGCGGGGTTGGTGAATAAGGTGGTCTAGAATGGCAGAATAACTCTAACAGTGGTCTGACAGCACCACACACTGCAGAAGAAGCATTTATTACAGTAAACGGTTAGTCAAAGGTGGCGATGTCTCGTTCGGTTGGTCTCTGTTAGCCAATGGTAACAACGTGAATGCTTGGCAAAAGACCTTGGTGTCATGTCTCCACAGATAGCAGCATCAGAAAGGAGCAAGGATGGAATGTAGCTACTTCTCAGCAGAGGGGCAGATTCAACCAAACCGGATGTTGACAATCGCACAGCACTTCACTGGGCTGTAGTCGGAGACCATGTCAAAGCGGCGCAGCTTTTGCTCTGGAAGACAGCAGGACTAATCAATGCGGTAGATCATGAGAAGCGCACTGTGTTACACTACGCAGCTTCTCATGGAAGTGCTGCCATGGTCGAAATGCTTATTCATCAGGATGCTGATATCGATGCCCGTGACCGAAGTGGGCAGACGGCCCTGCACATTGCAATTTCGCAGTCGCATGAGGATATTGCTATTTTTTTAATTAGAAACAAAGCGAACTTGGATATATCTTGTAGGATAAATCGCAAGAGGGTGAGCGTGGATGACTTGGTGGATTCAGTAGAAAACACGACTATTATAGACGCGATCAATGAGGTCAGGGGCATTGACAGGGCAGTATAGCTGCATATAGTTTTAGAACTCCCAAATGCCTGGGCTGGCTAGTAGCCGTTGTTCCCGATACCGGCCCTTCCTCTAAGCTAGGTCCTTGGCTACATATAAACTTCAGTCCTAAATATTATTCATACGTTGCCATTGCATACAGCGAGATATACGTGCAGAGTGAACAGATATAGGAAAGTAGATCCTTTTGCGCTGTAATTTCATACAGATAAGCAAGGGCATGCTGATCATAAGGTATGAATTCTTGCTACGTATTTGTTACTAGTCTTAGTATGTGCTATCGCGGAAGGTCTGCGCGTTACTGCGGAAGTTGACCTTTGTAGCGAGTGCAACCTGTACACTAACCGGATTTGGTCAGATTGTACGCTGCGCTACGACCACTTTGTATGCAGGGTAAGTTACAACGCATATACTGTATGATAAGATATATTCGCGGGATGCTTAGAATCTATGAAGTGCAGCTGCGATCTTCCGTTCGAAGTCCAGTCAGTGATAGGTAAGTATTGATCGTTATTATTTATCAATCCTGGACACGTTAGTGTCGGAAGTCGTTTTCACCAGGGAACATCAACATGGCAACCGACACCTTCAAGACTATCATCAATTCAAGAAACAACTACTCGTTGCTATTGATACTACGAATATACACGGTGGCAATATCCATATTTCCTAGTAACCTGTTTAACAAATGGGACCAGCTGTGACAAGAGTTTATGTCTATTTGTTCTCACTACGTCACCACTCCTCGTGATTTGCTACGCAGCTCTCAACGTCGGATTTTGCAATGTGACAGTACTTTGTTAAATATTTCGAACTTCCTCTTTTTGAGGAATTGTCACCCTCCATCTTTTGCTGGTCCTATCGATTGATCTTGATGAAAAATAGGCAGGTGTTATTGGTACTGCCAATGGCGCAGATAAACGGGTCCGTGCAACGCGTCCGAAAGCCAAGAAGGTCCAGGCGTTCGTCCGGCTATTACCCCTCCAGCCCCTCACTGGATCGCACCCTAAGAGCATCACTGGACCTAAGTCGGACCAACCATACGTGCATATTTGAATCGCAAACCTGGATTGAAACAAACGACGATATGTGCCTCAACAAAAATGGGAAGTACCTGCAGGATGAGTTCAAGAGACTGATCCGAAACTTTCTCCAGTTCAGCCCTAGTTTAGTATGGCAGTTCATGGCAGCGCCACTGCCTTGGCTGCTCGAATGGCCGACTTGCATACCTTTCTCGAGTCGTGGAGTTTTAAGCGAACCACCATAGCCACAGATCTAGATTCTGCTATTGTTGACGTGCAGTGAGAGCTTCGGGCCGTCCGACATTTGAGACTCATGCAATGACAAATGGTCTTAAATACTTTTTACTTTAATTGCATGCATAAAACTGAGTCTTTTATCGGACATTGCTACTGACTTAAATTCTGTATTAACCCAAGTTGTTATCTTGAGCGGCAAGGGTGGCGACTTGGCATTCGATTAGGAAGGAAATGAAACTCTGGACGTACGTTGAATTCTACCTGTCACGTCATTCTGAACTACCGAATTGAGTTTGCAATTCCGGCAACGTGAGAAACAAGCGAGGTGGGGACAGGGAATGGCGACACATCAGGCTTAGCGTTACTACCCATAGCACGTGTTCAGGCCGGATATCCGCATATAAACTGTTGACAAAGTACCGAAGGAGAATGTTTTCCAGTCCATGCGACTTTCAGTTTATATCTCAAGTCTGATATAAGGGGCAGAATGGGGCAGGTCTCTGTCAAAGCGAGTTCAGTTCGCAGGGGATGGATCGGAGGAAATCCTCAGTGGGACTAGCTAAAACGCGGAACTCAGGTAGGGTTACATCGGACGAGCCCCTGATGGGGAAAGTCCCCTGACTTGAGCATACCAAGCCGGATTCTACTGTCTCGCCCCTGGCAGGAAGACTGCGAAAGCGCGGCGTAAAAAGCTCAACAGAGCAATCAATTAAACAAAACATATGCATGATACACTTATCCCATCCAATATGCATCTGTGATACCGTGCAGGTTACAGTCGGTCGGCCGGGGACGTTGCAGGTAGGACATAATGCAGAGTCCACTATAGAAGACTTGGCTGGCATGATGCTTGATAGACGAGAATCAAAGTTTCATTTAAAGTCACGCATTCATTCCTTGCTTCTTCTCACAGAATAGGATCTCGATCCTGTCCAAATTTTATTCCCATCAGTAGCAACGATTGAGTGACTGCGCTGTCCCACGATGGCGGCACAAATCGAGAACAGGGGCCCAGAGCTCATGGGAGTGAATATTGCCTTCTACTCTATGGCTTTAATCACGTGCATACTGCGATGTTATGTGCGTTGCTTCATGGTCAATGCGTTCAGGATAGATGACTGGCTCATGGTGGTTGCCACGGTATGTTCATGCGTTTCATCTCATTGAAGGTTCTATGACTGACCTCGGACGAACAGATATTCTTTACCTTGTATGCCACGTTTTCTACTCTTGGTGTCACTATCGGCACGGGCCGCCACCATGCCGACCTCGAAACAGAGCAGGTTTATTCCGCGATGATGGTAAGCGACACGATTCCCAATTGATGTATGCATCTCTAACTATGTGTTTAGTGCTGGTGGTTCTGTTACCTTTGGTACTGCCTCACCATGATTTCTTGCAAGCTTTCCATCGGATACTTCCTCCTACGAGTCACGACCGAGAAGATTCAACGCATCATAATTTACCTCGCCATGTTCTCGACCGCCTTGTCAGGCGCCATTTTCTTTTTCGTCACCGTTTTCCAATGCCATCCCGTTTCGTTTTTCTGGGACAAGGGACAAGATGGCACATGCATTGATCCCACAGTGGTCATCGCACTCGCCGTCCTCTACAGTATTTTCGCTGTGGGATCTGACTTTGTTTTCGCGCTTCTCCCGGGCTTCATTGTTTGGAATCTTCAACTGCGCAAGAAGACAAAGTACTGCTTAATACCTCTTCTCGCTATGGGTTGCGTGTAAGTTTGACGAGTTCATTGTCAAGATGGAGACTAATCGTGAAAACAGTGCTAGCGCCGCCGTCATCGCACGTTTCCCTTACCTACCTCTTCTAAGGAAGCCCGACTTTCTCTGGAACACCACAGACATCGCAATCTGGTCGACCATCGAACAAGGCTTGGCAATCACCGCTAGTAGCATGGCTACCCTACGACCTCTACTCAAACAAGCCGCATACCATCTCGGTCTCACCAGCAAGCCTATTTCCAACGGTCCCTCCGCCTACGGGTACGGTCGATCAGCACGTACTCCTGGACCCGGAACTCCGAAGGCCTTTTCTGGCCGTGACGCATACACCCTCTCATCAGTCAGCCGCCCCGGTGCTCATGATAAGAAGGGAGGCAGCTTCTTCCCAAGCGACCTTGAAGCTGGTATCAAGAAGGAAACAAAATGGGAGGTCAAGATCTCAAAGACAACAGCGACATCAGCGAGTGAAAGTCAGGAAGAGCTTCATTCACCCAGATCGTGGAAGGACAAAAACGTTCTGCTATAAAATAACGCTCTTTAATTAAATAATCTACTAAGTAATAATATCAATCTATATCACATGTCATCCAGTCTTTGCACGTTAATTTTCTTGTTTGCGTTGCGGACTTGTGAATCAACAGTGTGAAACTATCGAACACTCCCGTTGCCTTCCACAATAACCAAGTTACTTTTGTTAGCAGCATTGTGTTTGCAGACATTCTTCCCCCTGAAAGCCAGCTCGAAGAAAGAGTACAACTCCACAAAGCTGTAGGCAATGATAGTTGGCAACATCAAGATCCAATGCAAGAGACCTCTTGACACCCCCCCAAGACCTCGGTTGTAATCGTCTTTACCATCTCCCGGAACGGGCAAGCTCCAGCGAACAAGGACAGTGGCAACAAAAAAGAACGCATATTGAGACCCCAAGAAGATGAGGCTGATTGTTGTAAAAAGGGAATCGCTGATGAATAGTCGATCATGTTTATCAGCCGCCATGTTGACAAGCTGCACGATGATGGGCGAAAGAACGGAGAAGATGGCGCTGGCGCAAAGAACAAGACCATAGTAGATAAAAAAGCGACTGGCCCAACTCATTGAAAGATAGAGACTAGGCATGCGGTAAGTCTTGACGATGAAGTAGTGGAAGACTTCTCCAGCACCAATCGTCCATCGACGAATTTGAAGAGCCCATTCACGAATTTCATCGGCGTAGTTGCTACCGGAGGTTGGACCGTTGATAGAAATGAGGTTCAGTGGTCTAATTCGTATCTCTCGTTTTGTCATGATGGTATAACGTATCAAGGCAATGATGTCCTCCATCTGATAAGCTGGGTGCGTAAAGGCACCTTCCTCCAGCAGCTTGACACTTAGAGAGTAATGAGACATGGGGTTGATGTTCCAAGGAATCAAGACACCCATGAAGAAGAAGGTTCGTAAGACACCGGTAATGTCGACGAAGAAGGGCATTGAGTCGCGTTTGTATATAACGATAGATTGCCAGATGGAGGAATGTCGGTCGGCAGTATCTAGCTTGCAGTATTCTATTTCCAGCTCGAGCATGTATTCAGGATCAAAGACGGCGTCGCAGTCGCAGTTGGTGAAGATGTGTTCGTATTCCCCATAGTTGTAGTCGGCATCTTCGCGGAGGATTTGTAGTCCTTGCCGGCATGCGTAGTTCATATTGGAGCATTTCCCGGGTATCTCACCGGGAACGTCTGCGGGATGAAAGGTAACGATGAGACGAAGGAACTTGTTTTCGTACTTAGTGTAGATCTCGTCTCGTTTAGCTTCCTTATCTGGTGTGCGAGACTCCATGCCAACAATAACACACAGGCGGGTTGTGGCACATTCCTGCTGGACAAGAGAGTCCAGAGTGGTTGACAGTACACTCATAGGCTCTTTGTATAGGGTCATAGCAACGATGTGATGTATGTTGGGGTGGTCATTGACCTTTTCGACAGCCGCTTCGACATCTTGGACCTTCGTAGTCTTGAGTTTGTTTCGGGCGTTGATAGCTAGTGTTCGACGAATAGCGCATATGGTAGCTATCAGCCAGACCAGTTGGAAAAGCCCGATCATAACTACTATAACAACATTGGTAACTTTGTTAACTTCAGGAACAAAGGGCATCCATATGGGGAAACAAAGGAAGATGAAAATCATTGATAGAAACAACAAGTTCCACCGGAAATAGCGGTTGGCTGCTTCTAGTTTGGCGGCGTCAACGCCACAGTCCAGGCTAGAGGAGGACGATGATGCTGATGGAAGTGACATCTTGGGAAATATTCGTGCTGATCTCATGAAAAGAATAACGGGCAGAGGCGAATTAATAGAGTATTTATCAGAACGCTACTGCTAAAATACCGTTGCTAAACATAGAATGAGGTACATACATGCCGGTTATTAACCCACATCTAGTTGTCAGTAGTCTGCAATTCAGCCAGCCAGGTGGTAATTAATAAGATAAGCAAAACTCACTAGCCCAGTATCAGGTAAACCCACATGTGAAGACAAATGACGCACGGAGGCAGAACAGCATCCTTCCGGGCTTTGCCTCTTTGAAGATGAGGCCAAGCACTAGGCGCTAGGGTCAGATCGTCCGCCGGCAATTGGCCCGCCGTCTGACAACTGGATAAGCTGAACCCACCAGCGCTTTGTTTACTTTACTCTTTTGTACGCCCTACATATGAGCCAAGAAAGTCCCAAAAGAGCTGACGGAGGCATCGGGCCGCCGGACTGAAAGGGTATTTAACAATATCCGCTCATGAAGGATTCAACAAAAAAGTTCCTTTGATACGTACAGGAAGTCGGAACAATGAGAGAGCAAGGAATACGATAAGAAGAATAGACTCGTAATCTAAGCGCAAACCTAACTTTGCCTAAATGACGCGGTCAGCAATGGGAATCTACGATCTCATGTACCAGTCGATCGGGTTGCCTCCTGCCTCTAAACCTGTGTTGCTCAACATTGGGACACAGTGAAAGTGGTCAATCAACTCCAGCTACCGGGTTCCGAAGCTACTGACCAAGCGTGACATTCGTGGCGCGATAAGAGGCTGCGGTTGGACCTGTAATCAACAGGGACATGCCCGTTAGACTTTGTTAGTTAATAAGCTGAACGGTACTTATTCTCAGCCGCAGGTTCTGGAACTTGGCTAAAATGATGCCAATTCGATTTTTCCACCCTGGCAGCCTGGCAAATGTGGGAATTGGATCTGTTCTGACTTTAGCCGATCAAATAGTCTTCAGCTGTGGCGTATTGGAGTCAATAAAGACCCGCACTTCCAGTAAGCCACAGTCATTGAGTCAGCTAAATCGTCGATTTCCAGTGGCTTAGTACCAGTAACCTTTGGCATCTGCGACAAAAAAACGGTGAAAGAAGCCCACATGGCTTAACGCTCAGTACATTTGACCCGGTTGCTTGGTTGACAATAAACGTTCAGCTACTCAGGGTCTTCATGCTTGCAACATGTACCCCTCAAACAGGACAACAAGCTCGCAAGATTGCGCCAGCACATTATTTCCTTACCGCCGCTGTCGCTGTTGGGATTTCGAGCCTGCAGTCCAAAGTCCCAAATTGAAAGTTTATACAAAGGGGATTTCAATTACGGCGGTGAGATCATGTAGTGAGTTTGAGCTATCTCAGCATCCTGCCACATCTTATTTAGTTCGAGACCTTCTGCCAGTAACAACATCCGAGGTCAACACCTTCTCATCATGTACAGCCTTAAATCGCTATCCCCAATTCAACAACAAGACCGTATGGCTAAATCCTCCACACCCGAGACTGAGCCACATAAGCCACTCTGGTTGGTTCAAACGTCATTGGGTCAATTGGCTTGGACAAGAACAAGATGAGGTTACCATCAATATTCTCGAGATGGCCCTCAGCTTGGTATGTAATGTGATTACGCAAGCCTAAAAGTTGTATCGCAGCGTCGAACTATTGACTCATTCGAGAGAACTCAGCGGGTAAGGAAGGAAGTTAGCCCGCCTCCGTTGATGAATTGGAGGTCTGGCAGTGCAATATTATGTCCGTCGGGTTAGTGACTGAAGCCGAAATCAGAGGAAGCCAGGAGTGTTACCATATCATTAGCTACCCGACGATGTTCTCAGTACCAAGGATATTCATCCAACTGGCTCTGATCTGACGTGCAGAGACAGCACTAAAATCCCGCCTATGAATCATCTACTTGTAGGGCTTAGTGCAATCACCTCGCCCTTCTTAAAAACATATTTAGTGAAGTCCCTATTGTGAGCCTGTGGTGGAGTCTTTTACGTTCGCAGACCACACCAGAATTGTTAACAAGCACGCGCAGGAAAGTCTTGTCATAGACAGCATAGCCTAGCTCAAGACAGAACTCAAATCAATACATCAGCTTTTAGTCGGTAAACGTTGACACATTTTGTCTTTAGTACTAATTCTCGACTCAACATCATTGAGATATTGATTGAGTTTGCCATGGTGTGTATCCTTTCTGCAGTAATCTGCGATACTTCAGAGGCTCACTATGCTGTGCTCGTAAAGATCTCCCAATTAGATCGTGTGGAAGCAATTCCCTAGAGCCCTTCAAGAGTACTGGCCAGTCATCTGGTAAAGCTGACCATTGGCCTCCCAAGTTCCACTTATCTGCTTACTGCCTCGAACGCACTGGGTGATAATATCCCTGGAACCATTAGTCATAGTCGGCAGAACGACGCGATCACGTACCCAACGAAGCGGTGTAGTGCTAACTATCTGCTGGGGTATAATACAATAGCAATAGAAACAACAGTTTAAATGAAAAGGAGCGCGATAAAACCATGCAAGTATCTCTCAATTGAATGCAATTCCACCCGCTTTCCCCCTTGACTTCATCCTTCCTTCCCCCCTTCCTTTCTTCTGGCAGTGACGCTGACATTTCAATGGGTGTCGTTGGCGTGGCGTCCATCTCGTACATTGGTGCATCATGTGATGGCGGTAACTCGACTGGTGCGTTCGTTGTCCAATCAGGTTTGAATTCGGTTCCCCAATTTGGTGAAGTCTGGTGTTGAGCAGTCGAGGTCCGTTGTTGTGGCGAGGTCGGCGGATTAGACTCCAACTTGTCTCCGTTCTTCTTCCGTTGCGTCAAAAAGAACCAGATGAGTGCCCCAATCATTGCTCCTCCTCCTACAATAGCACCAACAGCTATCCCAGCTACGGCACCTGTTGACAAGGTTGATGGTGATTCCGGTTCGGCTGCGGTGATATTCCTCCCCTCCATAGCTACTTGCTCAAATTTTGCCCGTGTCATGTTTACGGAAAGGCTGTAACTCGAGCAATCGTACACTAATCCGGCATAGGTCGAGTTGATCGCTTTTGGCGAGTCTCTGCCGACGCATTTTGCGAAGGAAGTCAGGAATATATTCTCAGTAGGATCCTGGCTGCAGATACACGGCATAACCCAGTCTGGCTCTCTCCGGTAGCATATCTCCATGTTCTCTCCGTCGTCGTTGTCGTCGTAGTTATCGGCTGCAGTAACCCCCAAGACCAGGAAAAGTAACAGAGGCAGCCATCTCGAGGCCATGACGTTTGAGTATAACCAACGGTTGGGAATTCGTCGGACTTGTATTGTGTTTTGACTCGAGGTTTGGTCGACCAACTGGTATCACTGTATCTTTAACATGTGACGAGAATTGAAGAACTCCAGTCTGTTGAATACCTTGGATTTGGTTGATGTTTATCCGTAGTTGGAGGAAATCGGAAGTCAGGAGCGAAAGGAGTGAAAGATCAAGAGGGAACCCAACCGCTGGATTGCTTAGACCGCAGGATCCGTCATCCAATTCCATGCCACTTCCTTCACCAAGGAGCCATTCTTCTGTCAGCGCTAGAGCCATTTGAGCTTTCGCTACGCTTCAAACTGTTCGGTTAGAGGTTATCCTTGTCCTTGACAGTCAAGGTTAAATCTTGGCTCCAATCACTGTTCAGCAAAGCCTCGGAAATGACCCAGTGTCTTCCCCGGACCTTTTGAACCGACTCCTTCGTAATTCCGAATGTTTATGGAATAACAAAGCCAAGCGCATCAACAGAATCCTTTGCTTGGGCTGTGTTGAGCAATTTAAGCTTATCGGCGATAAAGACTTATTACGCTGCTCTACCGTCAGTTTGCCCCAATTTTGAAAGAAGATTTTGTTTCACCAGCATTGATACTATACCGAATCGGGACGCCAGTGGGAGGAGCGTGCGAACAGCAAGTATAGAACGCGTCAAGGATATTCGCAAAGGCATGTTTGATAACAGTATTTCTGATCGCTTGAGCTGCATTATATAACACTGCTAGAGTAAGGGTTAAAATAACTTGTCGGAATTTAAATTATCCATCTCCTACCCTACTGTACAGCATAAGCACTAACCAAGTAAGTGGGGTAATCAATTCTGATGTCTTTTTTCGTTTTCGTACAATTTTATCTTTAAAGTTCTGAATTACTTAACACAGAATATTTCTTTTGCTTCAGTTCCTAGGGAAATGGCCCAGAACGGTTTTGTACTACGCTGGGTAGGGATTCTCTTTCTTACGTTACTGAGCTACCTTATCTTCAGACTTTATCAACAACGCACCTTTTTCCGAAAGAATGTTGAGAAGTACAATCTTGTGAGTCGAAATGACGCGCACCTGGACCTTGCCTTGAGACGGGAGGCCTGACATACCGTTCACAGCCGACGTTGCCGAATCATTCATGGCTTCTGGGTAATTTAATTGCGGTGGGAAAGATCATGGCAGCGTATCCTCCAGATGTACACGGTCAACTGATGCCTGACTTTCTTGCCCGCGAGTACCCCGAAATCGCTGAGCGCGGTTTGTGTTACATCGATCTATGGCCAATTTCCTGGCCCATGATGGCTACCTTCCACCCGGATATTGCAGCGCAGTTTACCCAAGAAACATCGCGCCCAAAGCACGGGATTATTCGTGGTCAGTTTCAACCTCTGACTGGACTGAAGGACCTTGTTCTGGCGGAGGGGTCATTTTGGAAGAGGTGGCGAGCGATGTTCAACCCCGGCTTTTCGACGCAAAATATATCAGCTCTTGTCCCGGAATTTATCGAAGAGGCATCAATCTGGAAAAAGCACTTGCAGCAAGTTGCCAAAGATGATCGAGTTGTTCTTCTTGAAGATTCCGTTATGAAAGCGACGTGCGACGTTATTGGTCGTTCCGTATTGGGCCGAAGCTTGGGAATTCAATCTGGTATAGACGACAAGATCTTTCCTACGCTCAAGGCCGCCATTGGGCTTCTCGTTACGGATTGGTCGCCGCCAAACTGGAGTCGCCTTCTGGATCCGTTCCGCCACCGGCGCCTTGCAAACCTCAATCAGAAACTGCGAGATCAACTCAAACCGTTGATCCAGAGTCAACTCCAAAACCACGAGGGCGATAGAGGACCCAAGACTATCAATGGTCTCGCTATCAACACATACATAAAGGAGACTGGAAGCGAGACTAATACCAATTCCGGTATTGATAACGAGTTCCTTGATGTAACGATTGAAAACCTCAAAATCTTTCTTTTTGCCGGCCATGATACCACCGCGTCAACCCTTTGCTTCGCTTACAACTACCTGGACCAGCATCCACATGTAATGAAGAAGCTGCGGAAAGAGCACGATGAGGTCCTAGGTCCTGATCCCACCTATGCAACATCGAAGATTTCTGAAACCCCTACAATTTTGAACCAACTCGTGTATACTACCGCGATCATCAAGGAAACCCTTCGACTCGAACCGCCAATTGGCTCCTGTCGCGAAGGCTCCCCTACATTCTTCCTGCGACATCCCGAAACCGGACAGGAGCTTCCTACCGATGGCTTTATCCTGTTTTCCGCAAGCAAGGCAATCCATCGCAACCCGAGATTCTGGGCGGATCCTGACAAGTTTATACCAGAGCGCTGGTTGCAGCCGGACTTTCATCGAACTGCCTACCGCCCATTCGAGCTAGGCCCTCGAGGCTGTATTGGACAGGAGCTTGCCTTGACAGAGCTTAGGTTGCTCCTGGCTATGACTGTCAGGGATTTGGAAATCATTCCAGCGTACGGAGACAGTGAGGACAAGCTATATGGCTACCAAGCATATCAGGCGCATATGCCTGGCGAGCTTACGGCGCACCCGAGTAAGGGCATGCCAGTGAAGGTGAGACTTCGAAAGGTATAACATATATTATTGAAGAACAGTGGAATTTGTGGTACTATAGTTTGCATTACACTTTTGATTACGCTGATAGGGACTGAATTAGCCAATTACTTTCGAGGATCTTCCTGTCTCAGCCGTTATGGACACTACTAGCGAGCTGCTCTGCTGTACATACTAGTGCGATGAATGAGATTTCATACTTACCTTGGGAATGAATCAGGATAGGCGAGACAAGTAGCAGGTTTTGGATGTTGTGTAGATCTTACTTCAAAAAAAGGACTTCCGCTTTACAGATGGAAGTGTCGATACATCTCCTTTCATTTCAATTGATACACTTAGCTCGATTACAGTTTTACTAAATGTATGGAAGCTCCAAGCGGTCTAGACGCATTCTCATTGTTACCAAATATTTAGCTGGGGGATATCTTGAATGATCCGCTCCAGGGTGCGATACCACTTCAGGACACCAGTAAGCCACGCTTGATTTCTAGTTGCAGTACATCAAAAGAAAGCAGATAACCAGATTACAGCCTCCAACATTACCCACTAATATCGATCCGGCTTCGATCCATCATAAGGGTACTTGAGAACACTGATGCTATTGGAATAGCTTGATAGGTCCGGGTTGAGCTGTGCCTGTGATTTTCCAATTAGCGCTGCAAAGAAGCACAAACTATGGATAACATACCAGATCAATTGGGCATGTTGCATTCTTGGCCCCGTACGTGGTAATCTTAGGTTTCCCATCGGTGGTCTTGATCAAAACCTGCTGGGAACTAGCCTGCGAAGGATCACCGAGAAGATAGTTCAACGGCTCAATAAGCATGGAAGAATGTGCGGTCGAGAAGACGGTGTTAGGGAGGTCGCCAGTGTGAGGCATATGGTGCATTCCCAGGTTGAACCAAACCACACTGCGCCACGTCAGCTGCAATCCATACCACCAGTGTCAGTCAGCAAGGCACTCACATATCCTCTTGAACAAGCGATTCACTGTTGAAATACTTATTGAAGTCAACCTGTGGATCTTCGGGGGTTAACGAATTGTACGCCCCAGCAGCGTAGGTCTCGTTGTCCTTCTGCTGAGTGACGTAGAGATGATGCGTCGTGTGGTGACCAGCATTTTGTGTAATGTTGGAGTCCTGAACCGTGAGATATGCCACTCCAGAAGCTACGGATCTCTGTCAATCAGAGGGCCAAGTCATCAAGATATCTAGGGTACTAACCTGGTACGATCCTGTACCCCGGCAATTCGCCGTAAGGGTTCTTCTTGTCCTTGTTGACCACTGCATACATCGCTCCGCCATTGGGCGCCCAATTGATTTTGGAATCGTCTTCATTCTCAACGAAGCTCTTAACTGCCTTCATGGTGTTGATAGGTTTGCCACCAGACCACTTGTACCTAAGGTATGGCTTTTAGGAAGATGTGACAAATCGGAGTACGAGAAACTTACTTCTCAGTCGTGGGTTGGATGGCAATCCGTTGGAATGAATTCTTCTCTCCCAAGATATCAAAGTCAGCCTTGAATGTGATGACATGGTCATGGAGGGATCCGGAAAGACTGTCATGGATCTTGAACCCATAGTCTTCGTTCTGAGCGTAGAATGCTGAAGAGATATAGCCTGATGCTCTGACATCAACTTCGATGGAACCATCCAGATGGAATTGGTAAGTTGTCATGTAATCGTAGTTTCCAATAGTGTAGATAGCGCGGACATTAAAGGCGATGTTCTTTGTCACGGTGGTGTGCCCAGCCCAAGAGTGGCGTTGGATAGGGAAGCCCTTGTCAATCTCAAACATGCCTTGTTAATTGTTCTGTTAGTGCACTGGGACCCTAAGATGTATTTGGTCCCAACTTACACAGGGCGTCCTTCTGCGTAAACGTTGTCTCGCCTGTAGTCGTTGTGACATTGGAATAGTGGGAGTATGCCGGGCAGTCATAGCCTGGATCATGTCAGCCTAAGCGTTTGCTAATGCCAGCCCAGTCCTACCGTTTACCAGAGAGATCATAGTAGGTCCGAATCCACTCATGCTGTCAAAGTAACTAAGAGATGAAAGTTAGGAAAGGAAGTATTAAAACACTGGTTATTTTTACCAGATCCCAGATTGCACTGGGTCGATGCCGCTGCACAAGGTATTAGCAGGAAAGTGTGAAACAAAGGTGTCAATTGACTTACGCATAATGTGCTATTGCCTCGTCTAATCCAAGCTAGGAAGAATCAGTCTTAGCCATTTAGGGTCCGACATGACTAGTACCCACCTCGTACATGATTCTCTTGCCCTTGTATCGGATGTCGTACAGTCGTAGACCGTTATCTCTTGTAGTACTGGCATAGAAGGAGAAGTCCACTGACAGTCTCATTAGCAGGCTCGCAATTGACAGTATCAAAGGTATAGACTTACTCCATGTTACATAACTCTCAGTCTCATCAACAGCAAACCTTGCGTTATGAGGTTGGATAGAGGCCGGTGGTGGGTTATCGTCCAGAGGAAGGGCGTCGCCATGTTTGTTAGTGTGCGCCCAAGGCTCATCCAGATTCGCCCCCAATGGTTTGAACTGAGGGTCGGCAATGACCTTGCGGAAATCATCAAGCTCCGGGTAAAACTCGTTGTCGTACACCCAACCTGTCACTCTCCATTTGTTGGGATCGCGGCCTGTGATATCTGTTCTCATGTAAAGGCCTAGTGGAAGCAAAGAGATCGTATCATAGATGCTGGTGACAGGTGCATTGAAGCCCTGCCACATCACAGCCCTACCCTCTGTCACTGTAAGTGGAGCCGCGAAGGCCAATGGGACCTGAAGTCCGTCATCGATCGTCTTTGCTCTGTCAGATGATGAAATGCCGATCGTGAGAGGACATGATACTCACTAGGTTCCAAAGCCGTTTTGTCACGTCTTCTGCCTCCTTCATCGTTCTGAGATTGAAGTTGCCGTAGTCTTCGGCGTCAGGGTTGACAACAGGGATCTTACCATCACCTGATCTTGTGTTTGTATAGGTGTAGGGCATAACGATTGAGGCGGGAGTAATAGGCAAAGGTCCAACCTTGAATTCCTGAAGGTAAGCATTTTCAGATGCCCCGAACATGACTGTAGCCAAAGCGTAACGCTCCGGGCTGCCGCTGCTGTTTGATAAAAATGGGAGAACATCGGTTTTGTTAGGCATCATGAGTTCAACTGACATGCTGATAGAGTTGTCAGTCAGTCGCATGACAGTATATCGCTCAGAACTTACATCTTGTTATCACGACTATAGTCAACGATCAGAAACCATATTGCCAAGGGTCTATCGGGTTCACAACATACCTCCCTGCATCTTTTGCGGTGGTTAGATTGAAACGCGTTGCATTGCTATGCAGCAGAGAAAGCACATCGGCTGTCTCGTTGGCGGTCAATGAACCCCAAAAGTTCTTGTGAGGAGCGTTCACGGCGGGTTGGCCTGAGGAGCACTTGGGGCCTGGACCTGGGTTTCGTCCCTCTAGCCTTCCGCCTGGTAAGGCTCCGACTAGAGCCATATGGCCTATAAAGGCTGGGATAAAGAGCTGTGAGAAATGCATTCTGTTGTCTGATTGGGACCCTGAGTGCAAGTAGACAACTGAAGAAGGTTGATTGCGTTGAGATAAAAAACGAGATGAGTAGAGTTCTTCAGCTTATATAGATGTTCAGATCCATGACGCTGCATATCGAGTCAGGTAATCATCGCCTAAACATGTCGGTAAGGATATCCCTACGCTCCTTTTCGTGCAGATAAGGCATGATCCAGCTCAAAGACCTGTTAGACGACAAGCCTTGCTAAGAGTGTAAGTACTATCAAAGACGGGTACGATGCCTTCATTCCCATTTCGCCTGGCAGAAATATTGACAGGGGTCACACAAGCCATTCCCCACGTTCCATATCATAAATGATAAGGCTCATGCTGGCTGACAAGGTTGGTGTGATTATACCTCATCTCTTAGAATAGAACCCCCCACTCTCAGCTCTCGCATTCTGTAGCAACCCATCTCTAAAGCGACGATTTTAGGTAACTGCCGGTTCACTGATGTTGCAATCCGGTAGACGGATGTTACGGTTGATAACCAGATACAGACAAAGATAACCAATATATTGGACCACTCACGACTCGCGCATCGGGAATCTTATCTTCCGGGTCGCTAGGGAACTTTTTAACTTTGATGTGGGAAACAATGGCGTTTCATGCCAGGAAACAGTGCATACATATTCAATAATCAATACCACGTTAGTGCTAGCTGTACCATTTACATCGCCGCGTGATCTGTTCCGGCCGGGCCTGTCCCGGTGTGGGTTCCGTTCTCTCTGCGCGCCAGTGAGTAACGGTCACGTAACAAGCTGTTGCAGAACCTCAGAAGGCGGAAACTTGCGGAGTTTTACGGAATGAATACGTAGAGTGAGTGGACGCTTTCGTCGGCTGCAGTTTATTACGCAGCTGTATTACGAGAAGTGGCATCTGTTGAGTACGCCTTTGCGAGTCTCTACGGATGCATTACTGTCAAAATCAAGACAGCAGTTCATTAAGCATGCCTTGTTGAGGATCAGATGTTATCATTACTGATTCCGTGGATGAAGGTAATATACCGGTTCTCATATACCTAGACTTGCCTGTTATCTTGAACTTGAATTAAGTTTGCCTTCGCTTAACTGCCTGCGAGGTTGCTCCGACCCCACACAATCTGTTTCATTGATTGAGAGGCTAGACCAGGTCACGAATCTCTCGATTGGCCACACCGTATAACAGTCAGCTCCCATTCGTTCTCTGCACTTTTGAGCTCCACTTAATGCCCGAGACCGGAACCGAGTCAACGGAAAATAAGCGATACCATAAGGCTTGGGGAAATAATAACCATCTTTGGAAAGAGCTTGGAAGTAAGGTCCCCCCCAGCCTTCTAACCGGAAAGATAACACATGACTAGCTAGACTAAGCACTAGCAAGAGTCCAGTCTTCTAGATTAACCACTGAGTCGATAAGGCTTATCTCGATATATCTTATCTATTGGTAAAGCTACCCTAATAGAGATTTGTCTTACCACGGCTGCATTACGCAGGGTGATGCTAAATCGCTTAGGTTATAGGCACATTCACACACAGGATATTCGTGGGAATCTTCAATGGTGCTGTTGCCTGAAGGTAACCCCTTCCTTTCTGCTGTGACCTGAGTAATTTCAGGGACCTTCAATGTGCACATGATTCTCATTCTACTGTTTCGCTCAACAGAATCAGTAGTAGATGAAAACACTTCATTCAAATAGGCAGCTATAATCCTGCCTCTTGCAAGGCTTTGTCAAGCTGCTTGCTCACCCTCAGCCTCAGCGTTCAATTTGTAGTTCTCAGGAGTTTATTGCAAGACCGCTCTGTACATGACGTAAAACAATTATGCGCTGTGCAACTGTGTATCCTACCCTGAAGCTTATTCTACACAGTAACAGATGTCTTAATACACTAGTCTTTCTAACATTTCTCTCGCTATAGCTTACTGTTATTATCTGAACACATACTCTGTTTAATTGCAGTTTCGGCTTTTCCTTTCTCCTAGTATTGAGTGTAAACTGTGGAGGTCATGTCTTGACAGTATGGAATGATCGGACTCATGATCACTGACCACGTGCGACACAGGAAGGAAAACCCAGGAACTCGTCACAGTAACGTCGGTCGATTAATTTACCCCGACGGAAGAATTGCCCGCATGGACAGTACTCTACAACGGGAACAATCGCTCCAAAGCCGCCAAACGACACGATTAGTTAGATTCATTGTTTGGAATTTAACCGCCGTCCACGCGAAGGGTAACCCTGCAGGAATATCTGCCTGCCGGATAGCGGCCCGCCCAGGCGAAGGAATGCGGGGCATCCCCGAGGGTTATTTAGGAGTTCTACAAGGCCATTTGCTAATTTACGGTGTTCATGCAGTTGAGAGCTCGCCACGAAACTTTTCAATCACTCATGTAGCGCGTCGAAACCTGGTATCCGTATTTATCTCAGTGGCAGCATTATCGAGCGCGAGAATTGGTTTTGGACCAGACTTAACAACAACAAAAAACAAAGCTAATACAAATCGCGGAGAAAACCTCAATGCCTTCTGGAAATGCGCCTGGTCCCTGTATGGACGAAATGCCCGAATCTTACATTGTGTACCCTTTGCACGAGTTTGATGACTCTCCCATCAACCGATACATACAACACTGGACCCTGCGATTCGATGCCGTCCTTGACACGCACAAGCTATGCGCAGCTCTTACACACCTCCTGAGCCAGGGTGACTGGAGAAAGTTAGGTGGCCGTTTGCAGTTCAACAAGGCCGGCAAGCTTGAGATTCACGCGCCAAGAACATATACTCAAGCCCGTCCAGCATTCCAATTCTCGGAGCAGACGTTCCCAGTGAGAACAGTGGATCATCCTGTTGCAAGAGACCTCCCGAGGGCAAGAGGCAAAGCCGAATTGTTTCCCGGCATCGCGTCACAGTTCAATACCTTGACGATCGGCCCCGAATGGGCGCTTGAATTTGATGAGCATATCAGTCGTCAAGAGCCTGTCATTGGTATTCATATTGCTCTCTTCAACGATGCAACATTGATAAGTATCCGCTGGGTTCATGTGGTATGCGATTTTATGGGGATCAAAGCTTTGGTCCTGGCTTGGTCAATGGATCTTGATGGACGCTACGGTGACATTCCGGAATTTATGGGAGCACACGATGACCCTCTGAAGAATGTCGGTTCAGTGCCTCCCAAGGAGCCATACGCCCTGGCAGATATACAGCTAAGCCCCGAAGCTTTCAAGAAGACATACGACAGATACCTGGAACACGTCGAGGCATACCCGTTCTCGGTGCGGCGCATGCTCGTGCTACCAGATTCTGCCTTGCAGAAAATTAAGATGGATTTCATCGGTGGCCACAGATCCGATAACCTCCAGGTTATTCCCAAGGGAGCTCTCTTCAATGGACAGTTTATCAGCGACGCGGACATTTTAGCTGCCTGGGCTGCGCGACTCTGCTGTGGCATCCTTCCTGACACAGACCAGCCTGTTCATGTGATGGGCATGTACGAGGCAAGACACTGTCTACCAGAAACGTTTCCCCAACGCAAGGATAAACCAGAGTCCAGCCCAGTCTTCATCGCCAATGCAACATTCTCCACCTCGACCAACACCACACTGGAGGCGCTTCGGCACCAGCCGCTAGCGAGAACCGCTCTCCTGGTGAGAGAGTCTGTGGCAACATTAACCAAGGCGCCCCAAGTGCATGCGCAACTGCATCTTCTGCGGGAGTCATACGCCAGGGATACAGAGAACCCGGCCATATTTGCGGCTGAAAACTCTTTTATTTTAGTTGTGTCTAATTTCAGTAAGATGGAATTCTTTGACTCAATTGACTTCTCCCCCGCTGTCATAACCCCCGCCGCAGAGGGCCATGGGAAGTCTCCAGGAAAAATCGCTTGGCATCAATGGACTTCGCTACAGCACAGCACTCATATTCGCAACATGTTCCAAGTGGGTGGCAAAGACGGTCAAGGCAATACGTGGATGATGGCGATCTTACCTCCCGAGACCTGGGCTGTGGTCGAGGAACATTTAGCCGGTCTTTCGAGTGGGCCACGACCCAAGGCGCCTAGCAAGTTGTAGGATTTGGCTCATGTGAAGCAAAGTTCTGCGGCTCTGCGGCTCATGTTCTGCTGGCCAATAGCGGAGGGCCGCGCGAGATCTGATGTAACCTCACGATTCCTTCCGAGATACTGTAATGCAGGTCGCTTTCGTTGTAATTGGCAGGCTAAATGCTATCCTATTATCCCGCACTTCAAATACATCTGCATTACGCCACTATCATGTCTTTTTGCTATACTCATCCTGCCCCCAAAGGCTAGGCAATTATCTCGACAGCCCTAAATCGTACTATGGTGGAGGCTCATAGCTCCACAATATGATCCTACGCCTGGCCACAAGGAGCCGTTGGTCCGATCCTGCCTAGATTGGTAGGGTTGGCATCAGATAGCCACGCACTCGCCATATCATGAGCCAGATCTCCCAAAACAATTCAGCCTATTGTTGTATTGGCGCTGTTGAGATAGTGATGGCTCGGACTCACCAGCCGTAAGAAGACTTTTATGTCCGTAGGATCAAGATAGCCGGAATCCTTCGAAGAGGGGGAATACCTTGATGCGCGGAAAGGATACGTGACAACTTGGAAAACGATATATAGTGTGCAAGACTTGAAGTCGTGATATATGCCGTTGTATATCTTGGCTGTTGTCTTGTTACCAAGTCTAGATTCTTAGAACTACCTTTGCAGAAACACAACACTTCTTGTCTCTAACTATGAGTCCTCCTGCCCCGATCGCCATCGTTGGTGTCGGTTGTAGGCTTCCCGGTGGAGCCAACAACTTAGACAAGCTATGGCAATTGCTGTCAGAGAGCAGGAATGGACAGACAGAAATCCCCAAAGACCGCTGGAACGCAGAATCGTGGTACGACACTTATCCAGATGCGAAACAGTCGATGGTGACCAAGCATGGGTATTTTCTCCAAGATGACATTTCTCAGTTTGATGCCAAGTTCTTCGGCATCTCCAGTGCTGAAGCGCATTCAATGGATCCGCAACAGCGTCTTTTCCTCATGACGACGTACGAGGCCCTTGAAGATGCTGGTATCCCTGTTGAAACACTTCGCGGTTCCAACACTGGCGTGTATGCTAGCATATTCGAGAGAAGCTACGATCGCATGGGACACAAAGACCTGTCTACGATTGGCAGAACGCACCTGAATGGAACGGGCGAGTCTAGTGAGTCATGAAACTAAACAGCCATGCATAATTTGCAGCTAACATCACACTAGTCCTCTCAAACCGGGTTTCGTACTGTTTCGACCTTCGAGGTCCCTGCATGACGATCGACACTGGCTGCGTATGACGCCTTGGAACCAACTTGTTCGAAAGGATTTTACTGACTGTAGATATCTAGTCTGGAAGTCTTGTGGGCTTGCATCAAGCATGCCACAGTCTTCGACTGGGAGAATCGAATCTCGCCTTGGTTGGTGGCTCACAACTCGTGATTCAGCCAGACGTTTTAAGCATTAGTAAGCGATCTACAAAACATTTCTCAGCAGCAACTACCATACTAATATCCAAGCAGTGAGTGGCATGGGAATGCTCAACCCAGATGGAAAGTCGTATGCATTTGACTCAAGGGGTGCTGGTTATGGGCGTGGTGAGGGCGTTGCCACAATAGTCTTGAAGCGTTTGGACGAAGCTCTTCAGGATAGGTGCGTCAATGATCCCTTGCAGAAGCTTGGCACAGTGACTAACATGGAGTTGCAGTGACCGGGTACACGCCATCATTGCCAACTCGGGCATGAATCAAGACGGAAAAACCCCCGGTCTCAATACCCCAAGCAGCGAGGCGCAGGCTGCGCTTTCACTCCGTGTATACCAAGAGGCTGGACTGAATCCTGCCCATACGTCATTCGTCGAGGCTCACGGCACTGTAGGTTTCACCTTTTGACAAGCTAAGGGAAGAAGCCAGCTGAAAGAACAAACAGGGAACTCAAGCAGGCGACCGCGAGGAAATAGCGTCGATATCCAAGGTCTTCTGCGAAGACTCTGGTAGGACAGATGACCTTTATCTCGGTTCGGTCAAAACCAACATAGGCCACCTTGAGGCTACGTCTGGTATTGCCGGTTTGCTGAAATCCATACTTATCCTCAAGCATGGCCAGATTCCTGCCAACCTTAACTTTGTGGAACCGAAGCCTTCTATAAAGCTCTATGAAAAGAAGATAAAGGTACACGATTCTCTTGATGATCGGAAGAAAGCTCTCTAACATACTGGCAGATTCCCAATCAGCTTATCAAGCTACCAACACAGGAAAATGGTCCTTCTCGAGTTTCAGTGAACTCATTTGGGTACGGAGGAACAAACTGTCACGTCATCCTTGAAGCTCCAATCGCAAAACGCCAGCTCAATGGGAACGAAAATGGGGCATCTTATCATAACGGTAACGCGAAGTTGCGCAACGGAGCTACGAATGGATCATCCGTCACTGGCTTGGCTTCCTCAAACGGGTCCTCAACTACCGATAATCTCCCATCTTACGATGAGTATACTCCGCAGCTTTTCATTCTGAGTGCTTCAACCGAGAAGGCCTTATCATCAGTCTCAGAGAATATCAAGCAGTGGGCGAGTACCCACCCGCTCAAACCTCAGACTCTTCGCAGTCTTTCCTACACACTAGGTGTTCACAAGTCGGGCCTTTCATTCCGGAGAGCTATCGTCGCGTCAACATCCACAGAGCTACTGGAAGAGTTAGATCAGAGAATTCATTCAAAGCGAGCCAGTGCCACCGTGCCACTCAGTTTTGTCTTCTCCGGACAAGGTGCGCAATGGCATGCGATGGGTCGTGAGCTTATTACCTCGTCACGATGCTTCCGACAATCAATATGCGCTATGGATGATACCATTCGACACGAAGGAGGCTCGTGGAGTCTTATTGACGAGCTATCCAAAGAAGAGAGCGAGTCGCGGATTGGCGAGGCTGAGATATCCCAGCCCGCCACGACGGCAATACAAATTGCCCTTGTGGACTTGCTGGAGAGCTTTTCTATGAGGCCCAGTCGGGTTATTGGTCATAGCTCTGGTGAAGTAGCGGCTGCCTATGCTGCCGGTGCTTTAAGCAGAGAAAATGCAATCCTTGTGTGAGTCGACTGGCATACCCTACGCGATGAAGTAACTAACATTCATGAGTGCCTATCACCGTGGTGTCGCATCCTCGAAAGCCAAGGCAGTGGCTGAAGTGCCTGGCTCAATGATGGCAGTCTCTCTTGGAGAAGCGGAAGTGCAGCGATACATTGAGCAGGTCACAACTGGAAGTGTCAGCGTGGCCTGTGTGAACAGCCCAGCTAGTAGCACAATCTCTGGTGACTTGGATGCCATTGAAGAACTCAAGTCATTACTTGACGCCGAGGGGCTCTTTGCCAGGAAGCTCAAGGTCGATACTGCATATCACTCGCAGCATATGAGGCGAGTCGCTCAGGATTACCACGAAGCGATGCGAAACATCGAGTCCTCTGCCGTACGGGACGGTGTCATCTTTTACTCCAGCGTTACCGGTAAAACCAAGTCAACAGCATTCGGAGCTGACTATTGGACTGAGAATCTGGTATCACAAGTCAAGTTCAGTCAGGCTTTGGCTTTGCTGCGGGATGACCAGTTGAGAAACGAACCGGGGATGGACATAAGCGTCATTGTTGAAATTGGCCCTCATTCAGCTTTGGCAGGGCCTTCCCGTCAAACTCTTACACATAATGGCGGCAAAACGTTCAAATTCGAATACCTCTCTGCCCTTGTACGCCACAAAAACGCTGCACAGACAGTCCTGTCCCTTACTGGCAAGACTTTCGAGCTGGGCCTCAAGGTCGATTTGGGAGCTGTACTTAAGATGACTGATAAGACAGAGCCTGAGATTGTCAGAGATCTCCAATCATACCCGTGGGATCTGTCACCATTTTGGCACGAATCTCGACTCAGCAAGGCCCACCGCTTTCGGAAGTTTGCACCGCATGATCTCCTCGGTCTACTCGACCCAGCGAGCAGCATTCACGAACCTCGATGGAGATACCATATCAACCTGGACGCTTTGCCGTGGTTACGCGATCATGTAGTTGAGGGCTTCACACTGTATCCCGGCGCAGGCTACCTCACCATGGCTATCGAGGCAATGAAGCAGCTTGTGCAGTTGCGGGATGCTCCACAGCCAATCTCGAAATTCATCCTTCGTGGCGTAGTCATTTCGAAGTCCATTGTTCTCAGCGAGTCAGACAATGACGAGGAGTCTGGTGAAGTCGAGGTTCAACTGAGTATGTCCAGCTCACGTCAATATGAAGGGAGTCACTGGGAGTCGTTCCGGATTTGGTCATATGACAATGCAAATGGGTCATGGACCGAACATTGCTCCGGCGAGATCTCGGTCGAGTACGAGATGACTGAAATTGATGAGGTTAACGGAACGCGAGAAGCAGACTTGCGCAAAGAAGAGTCAATGCAGCTCCTCGACGAAGCGAGAAAGAGTTGCAACATGGAGATGACCAAGACCGAGTTCTATGAGTTTGCTAAGCTTACTGGCAACCAATGGGACGGTGCCTTCAGTCCTATTGACTCTCTGAAATACGGCAACAAACAAGGTCTTCTCGACATAATCATCCCAGACGTGGCTACCTTGATGCCATATCGCTCTTTCCGACCTCATGTCATTCACCCAATCACCCTTGATGCTGTTCATCAACTCAGCGGCATGCTCTTCAAGAAATTCGTCTCTAACGCTCCTTGCGTACCTACCAAGATAACTCTCCTCGAGATCGATGCCAATATTTCGACAAGAGCAGGCGATAGCCTCACTGCCGCCATGCAGATCGAACCTGATGGCTTGAAGGCTTCTTCGGGTCAGTCTTGGGTATTCCAACGAGAGGTCGATGGGCAGCTCAGGCCCGTCATCAAGCTTTTGGTCAACCTCAGGGCAATTGGCGAGGCGCACCAAGATGAGAACCGACCCTTCGTTCAGGATAAGGTGAACCGGCTAGAGTGGAATCTGGATGCAGATTTCATGACAGAACCATCATTCTCCCACTTTCTCTCTACCACAATGGGATTGGATGAGAACATGACATATAACTATGAGGGCAGCAAGGTTTCTGCTGTGGAAGCTGAGGAGAGTTTCCGCACAGCTGACCAAGCAGCATCCATCTGGATTCGAGATGCACTGACCTATGTCGAAGCTAACAAGGTGGAGATCACTAGCCCTCATCTCGTCAAGTATCTCGGATGGATGAACAAATGGGTCAACTCTGACTATTATGAGCAGATCATGTCAGGCTTGAGTTTAGAGGACGAAGTTGACATACTGAAACGCATTGATTCCTTAACCGATGCACCGGAGCTACAACTGCTGGCACGTGTTGGGAGGGCCCTTCCCAGAATCTTGAACGGTGCACTCGATTCATTGAGTGTCATGCTCGAGGGTAACCTTCTGATACGGGCATACGAGGGTGGAACTTTCAGTGGCGACTATGAGGCTGCAGTCGCATATCTTCGACTTCTCACTTTCAAGAATCCGCGTCTTCGCTTTTTGGAGATTGGCGCCGGAACGGGAGGCTGCACGAAGCGAGTTCTCGGTGGAATTGCTGGTCATGGTCTTCCCATCGAGCAGTACACTTACACAGATATATCAAGCGGCTTTTTTGAAGAGGCCCGCGCGACATTCGCCGACTGGGAGTCGTACATGGACTTCAAGACGCTGGATGTCGAACGGGATCCACTCAAACAGGGCTTTCAGCCGGAATCATATGACGTTATCGTGGCATCCAATGTTCTGCATGCGACGAAGCAGATGGATGTTACGATGGGACATGTGCGAAAGCTTCTCCGACCAGGTGGAAGCCTCATCCTCGTGGAGAACTCGCCGAAAGGGGCAGTGATTGGTCTCATTTTTGGCACACTATCAGGATGGTGGGCTCATGAGGACGAATTCCGAGACGACACTGCTCTCATGTACAGAGAGCAGTGGGACACTATACTATCGAGGAACGGCTTCGGAGGCATCCATGTTGCGCGCAACAGCATGATGGTTTCAAAAGCTGTGCCCATCTTGACCAACGGACACGCTGTTGGAAGCAACCAGGTTGTTCTTATCAGCGATGCTCCCAATGATGAAACTCTTGAGACTTTAAAGAATATCGAGCCTACCTCAACCAAAGTTATAAGCAGTTGGGATCGATTGGACATCAGTGAGGATACGGTCTACCTGGTCATTGATCGCGCTGAGACACCTTTACTTCTCGACCCCGAACCTCGGCTATTCACAACCCTCAATGCTCTTCTTGCTTCGAAAGCCAAGATCCTTTGGGTCGTCATTCAAGCTGCTGCCGACCCTGTGTCTACAGCATACAAGGGCGTAGTCAGTGCAACCATACGAGTCCTGCGTCGTGAAAGTGGCAACAATGGGTTTGTCAACCTTGACATCCGGGATCCTGTCTGCGACCCGAAGGTGATCGGGCAGGCGGTGGCTGAGATCCTAGGAAAGTCCTTCTGGCCAACGACTCACTCTCAAAAGTCTATTGAGCCTGAGTTCGCGTTCGAGAATGGCCGAATCTCAATTCCTCGGGTAGTCCCAGACGCAACGTTCTTGAAGTGGGCTCGTAGTAGCTGGGATGCCGTCACTGATGTCGAGACAGAGACTTCCCTTCATCAAGGTGACCGGGCCCTCAAACTTGAAGCCGCTACTCCCGGCCTGCTGAGCTCCCTCCGATTCGTAGATTTTGACACGTCAACCGACCTAGAAGCTGGCCAGATTAAGGTCAAACCCGAGGCCTACGGTCTTAACTACAAGGATCTTTGCGTGGCCTTGGGACAAGCAGAGTCTGATGCGGAAATGGTAGGCGAATTTGCCGGTGTTGTTACAGCCGTCAGCGAGGATATGGGGGACTTGTTCCAGGTCGGAGACAGTGTCATGGGCTTTGGCGCTCAGCCGTACAGCAATCTGTCGCGCGTCAACGGGTACCATGTTCACAAAATACCGAGCGGGATGAGTAACACTACTGCAGCATCAATAGGCTATGCATACACTGCGGCATATCAATGCATTAGGAACCTGGCTCGCCTGGAGGAGGGTCAGGCCATTCTCATCCATTCTGCGTCTGGAGCTGTTGGTCAAGCGGCGATCCAACTTGCGCAATCCGTCGGGGCAGAGATCTTCTGTACAGTTGGAAACCGCGAGAAACGGCAGTTTCTTGTAAATCGCTACGGCATCCCGGTAAGCCACATCTATTCTAGTCAGTCCGGTTCATTCAAGCACAGCATCATGCATCTTACCCGCGGTGAGGGTGTGGACGTTGTGCTCAACACATCAATCGGAGAGATGCTGAGGGAAAGCCTCGACTGCGTCAAACCGTTGGGTGTTTTTATTGAACTGGGAAGGTCTGAGATGCAAAGAGACTCTTGTCTGAGCATGGCCGCATTCGAGAGGTCTATCACGTTCATCGCTTTTGACCTCGTAACTCTGGCCAGACGAAGGCCTAAGCAGATATACCAAGTACTTGGTGAGATCATGCAACTCATTGAGTCAGGCGTACTTTTTCCTGTGGAGCCAATCAACCTGTATCTCATCGAGCAGATCGAGGATGCGTTCCGAGCTATGGGTGCAAGAAAGCACATAGGAAAGGTTGTTTTGCAGACGCACCCTACATCAGTTGTCAAATGTCTACCAGCAAAGCCCAGACCTCTAAGACTGCGGAAGGATGGTACTTACATTGTAGCAGGAGGACTGGGCGACCTACCTTCACGAATCTGTCGCTTTTTTGCTGCCCGTGGAGCTGGTCATATCGTCTCCCTCTCTCGACGTACCATCGACGATGAGACGAGACGTAAACACATGGAAGCTGTGGAAGTACATGGGGCAAAGCTTCATCTAATCAAGTGCGATATCACCAATGAGGAGCATATGAAGGAAGCTGTCTCATTTTGCAGTGCGCTACCCCCTGTTAGAGGAGTTGTACAGGGCGCTTTGGCATTGAGGGTAAGTTGCTATCATCCACAGTGACCAATACAATGCTCTAATCTGACATTATCTAGGACCGAACATTCTCCCAAATGACTGTTGACGAATGGAAGCAGCCACTCCAACCGAAGATCTTTGGAACGATCAACCTTGACAAATATTTCGCCAGCCCAGACTTGGCCTTCTTTGTGGCGTTGTCATCTATCGTATCTGTGATCGGAAAGTCTGGTCAGTCTAACTACGCAGCTGGTAATGGCTTCCAAGACGCGTTTGCACGTGCTCATGCCGACCACCCTCATACCCAGTATGTTTCGCTCAACATTGGCGCTGTGTCGATTGATGCGCACGGCGCGTTGGAGGCATCCCAAAACGAGACAGCAATCAGTACTATCAGAGCTAGTCTTCGGCAAAACAGTGTCATGGACATCTCTTTTGACGAGTTCTTCGCGAACTTTGAATACATCATGACCAACGCTGCTAGGAAAGATGGCCTTCACCAATCGATCCAAGCAGTAACGCGCCAATCAATGATGGAAGCCAACGACGAGTATTTGCTTGACAATCCTGTCTTCAGTCAACTGCCAAATACATCGGAGAAAAAGGCCAGTGGCGGTGCCAAGGCCAACAAGATCGACTTTGCAGAGGCACTGGCTGGTGTCAGGACCATGGCTGAGGCCGAGGAGCTAATTCAAGATGCGACACTCGCCAAATTTGCTGTTTTCCTCGATCGACCTGTAGACGAGATTCGTGTGGATCAGTCTCTGGCAACGATTGGGCTCGATTCTCTTGTCAGCATTGAGTTGAAGAATTGGATGGTGCGCACTTTCCAAGTGAACCTCCAGACTTCGGAATTGAGTGGTGCTGGCAGCATCACCGCCCTCAGTACCACAGTTGCCTTGCGATCTAAGCTGCTTCGTGATGAGGTCCGTCAATCGTGCTCCAAAGGCAGTGAACCTGAAGTCCAAGAAGCACAGTCAGAATCTACAAGCAAGGAGGCTCAAAGTAACCATGACTTCTATTGTTGCCGAACCTGCAAGGATCTACCGAGATATCCACTCGTTGATTTGGATGAGGCCATTGACGACCTTCTCAACAGCGTTGGTCACTTCGCTCACACACGAGAAGAATACTCTGAGCTCAGTCGGAAAGCCCATGCCCTCGCGGCACCGGGTGGTCTTGGTCGCAGGCTCTACAACAAGCTACGCGTCAAGGCTGATGATCCCAATGTGGAAAGCTGGATCGCAGACCTGCTCCTCAAAGCTTTGCATCTTAAGCGCCGCTATCCATTAGCACCCTTTGGCAATTTCTTGGGTACGCACTTCGACAGCCGGATTCCCCATACTCAGGCAGAGCGGGCGGCTGTTCTGACAACGGCGCTGTGCGAATTTAAGGCGGACCGTGACGCTGGCAGGCTGGAACCCGATTTCCTGGGCACCAGGGCCAACTGTGGGCACTCTTTATCCTGGCTGTTCAATGCTGTAAGAGAGCCCAACGTGGACTGTGACAAGATGATGAAGTATCCCGGCAATGAGTACGTTGCTGTGTTGCGAAGAGGACATCTTTTCAAAGTCTCTCTGAAGCAACAAGGCATGACGGTATCATATGAAATGCTCAAGGCAACGTACAAGTCAATTCTCGATTTGGACCTGACGGACAAATGTTGGGCTGGCATATTAACCACTGACAATCGCGATTCTTGGGGATCAGTAAGTGACCTTTTTGGACTTCAATACTTTGACTGACATTATTTTTTTTAGAACCGACAGAGATTGCTTTCAATCACCAGCGCAAACGCAGTTTATCTCGAAACAATTGAAGCGTCTGTATTCGTCATGTGTCTCGACGACGACAGCCCCGTTACACGCGCAGACCGAGTCCGCTCTGGTTACATCGGCGACTCGTTCAACCGTTGGCACGATAAATGCACACAGATTATCGTCTCAGCCAATGGGCGCTCGGCAACCATCTTTGAGCACTCTATGATTGATCTGATGACGGTTTCTCAGCTGTCTCAAAGACTGCAAAACGCCATCACCACGCTTGATCCTAAGAATGCCGCGGAAACCGTTTCTGTTGATCCGGATAGTCTCAACGAGATACCCTTGGCGACAGCAGAAGATATCGATAGTCGCATCGAGGTACTCCGTAAAGATTACCTTGCCATTACCTCCGCAAAGCAATATGTCCCGCATCTCATCAACTCGTTTGGCAAAACGCTCATGCTTAGTAATTCGGCACCTATCAAGGCAACTGTCGACCTGACGATCCAGCTGGCCAGTCGATTATACTTTGGTCACCTTCCAGCCAGTTGGGAAACAGTATCCACGGCGCATTTCCACCTTGGCAGACCAGAGATTGTGCAGGTGGTTCTCAAGTCTGTCATGGACTTTTGCGACGCCGCTCTTGACGAAGCTGTACCTCGCTACGAGGCACGGGCCAGACTCCTAGAAGCGGCGCGACAGTGCAATGCGCAAATCATCAAAGGTACCGAGGGTCGCAACTACTTTAGACTCATGGACGTGATTGAGGTTATGTCTCAGGATCAAAATGACGATGAGATCCCAGAACTCTTCTCTGATCCAGTTTGGAAGAGAGGTTATCCGCAATTGATAATGCAGACCATGGTGGAAACAAAGCTAGCCGAGGATCCTGGCTTCACCATGCCGCACCCAGAGTCTGTATGGATGAACTATACTGTGTTTGATGATTCGTGAGTCTTTACAGTCATAACACGAATGCATTTGCTAATCAAACAATAGGGTTGAAGTCTGTTTTGTAAGTCCAGCCAATGGTGCAGAGCGTTTTGCAACGGCATTGGATCGGGCTGCGGAAATCGTGAAGAATATTATTTCAGCGCGGGATGTGTAAATACGTAGTATATACATAGTATCTACTTCATAATATCAATTTTATCTTAGTGCTTACTATTATGCATTTTCGCCCAATGTCTAACAAAATTGAACGTGCTCATTCACTTTTTCACAGTGGTTCGGTGTAAATCAGTGGGGCTGTGTTCACTAATTCCCTCCACCATGAGATTATCCACAAGGTAATAATTAGCTTGCCAAGCCTGGCTGCCTAGTCTGGTCTTACACCGCTCTCTATTTTTTGCTGTAATCAGAAAGCGCCGATTTGGGCATTACTTCTACTAACAAAGCAACTGAACTTAAAACAAAGTGCATTTCCTCTCCTTCTCGGCATTGCTGTAGCTACTGCCAACGTTGTTCCAGATTTGTATTGTTTGAACCACTTTTACCAACAGCCCGCAGCTCCACAGATACCAGCAGAAATGGCATCCTTTTCGGCACTTTCGCAGACCCTTGGTGGGATTACACGCACTAAGATCAATGAATTAGAAAAGCAGCGCACCATCCACGAAGCAAGAAAGGATAAAATCTTAGAAAGTGCTGATCAAGAAAAAGATCAGCTTGCAAGAATTAACCTTCTCCTCAAGGGGGTCCGGAGTCTTAACGCTGAGGCGTTTCAGAGTCCTGCAGTAAAGAACATCAAGCACTGGCTGACTCAGTCAAAATATGATGTGTCTGTACCGAGCGACTTTATGCAAGCCCATGAAGACCTTCTTCGGTCGCACCTGGAAGTACCAAGTCGGAAACTAGCACTGGGCCATCTCTACGCTCGGTTGATAACGGAATGGATGACTGCCTCCGTTAGCGGCGGCTCATCTTCGGAGGAGGAGTCCTTTGAGGTATTGGATCGACAGAAGGAGAGGCTACAGGAGCTGTGCGACAAGTTTGAGCAGGTGGTTTTCGACCCATTGGAGACCGATGAAGTTGAGATTGATCTCTACCTCAATGAGCTTTTCAAGGGAGAAGATGAGGAGAGTGCCAAGTCACTCAAAGCTCTTAGAAAAACTATCGGAGACTCTTGCCGACAGATCTTTGGCGAAAAGGCACCATTTGACTCTACAACACTCAAGTGGTGCATCAATGGGCTTCTCGCCGAGGATCTGCTGAGCGACCAGAAACAGGCGATTCTTCGTGACTTTCTCGAGCAACCGGTGGTTTTGGGAGAGATAGCCGATGTTCTGAATATGCGATTTTCCAATATTGACAGCTGGGAATGGGATGCTGGCGAACATGGCAGTAAGTGCTCTGGCTCATTACCTTCAACTCTGAACAAGACCGCATTCAAGACCAAATGACGGATGGCTAATAATGACCTACAGTTCCTGTTCTACCAAGACAGCAACTTAACGGCAAATACAGAATATGGATGGACGAGGATGTTTTGCAAGCGATCCTCATCCACTATATTGGTATTCAGTGCTGCGTTGCTCTCAAAGCGGCGCTGAATAGCTTCATTCTCCAGGATGATACGTTCTTCAAATGGCACACCGGATCAGAGCCTAGTCACGATGAGAAGCTGCGCCGCACCTACTACCTGTCCTCTGGAGCCACTGCGACTTCGAATGTCAAGAACGAGAGAAGGTGGCAGTATATAAATAGGTTCTTCATGTCCCAACTGCCGGAGAGTGTTGAGACAATTGGATCCAGTGGTTATACCGATCCAACGGACGGGCAAGAGAACTCCAAGAAGCCCAACATTAAACAGCGCCTGCTACAAACACTCGCAACGGAGACTACCATACACAAAACATTGAGGGGTGAAGTGGCATTAGTACAGACTGACCTGGAGTGGTTCGCTACGGGCCTGTCTCACACTACTATCTTTGGCGTGATGCGATTCTTTGGCTACACAGAAGATGCCATCTCCTTCTTCAAGAAGGTCCTTCAAGCGCCTCTCAACGTGCAATCATCTCCAGACTCTCCGTTGACGGGCAGCCCCAAAGTGCGCCGCCGTGGTGTGCCCATGGCTCATGCTCCCGAGAAGCTGCTTGGCGAGCTTGTTCTCTTTGTCATGGATGTTGTTGTCAACCAACAGGATGGCATGTTGCTTTATCGACTCCACGACGACCTTTGGCTTTGTGGTGAGCCACTTCATTGCAAGAGGGCTTGGACTGCTATGAATAAATATGCCAACATCCTTGGTCTCACATTCAATCGGAGTAAAACCGGCTCCGTGTACATCTCAGGAAAGGGCAGCCAAAGAGACGATGATGTTGCAAACAATTTGCCAGAGGGTCCAGTTAAAGTTGGACATCTGTCACTTGATCCTCAATCAGGAATTTGGAATATCGACCGCGAAGAAGTCGACCGACATTTGAGGCAGCTTAAGAAACAGTTGAATGGATGCAAAAGCGTGCTGGAGTGGGTGCAAACCTGGAACAGCTGTATGGGGCGGTTTTTTAGCCATACCTTCGGCGAACCAGCGCACTGTTTTGGCCTGCGCCATGTTGATAGTATCCTTGAGACCTACCAGGAGATGCAACAATTCCTTTTCGACGCGACATCGAATTCCACACAAAAGAGCCATGGGGCCGTCGACCACGTTAAGCGTATGATAAAAGAGCGTTTTGGTGCAGATGTACCTGATGCCTTTGTCCACCTGCCAGAGCGTCTGGGCGGACTCGGTCTAAGAAATCCCTTCGTGCCTATACTGACGATTCGGGAGAGCATTGCAAAGAAATCTCCCGATTCAATTATCCAAGACTTCTTTAATGCGGAAAACGAAAGATACAAACGGTACATGAAGTCCTTCGATGGCCTGGAAAATGTGGACAGCCGCATCAATGCAGCTGTCAATGCGTCATGGAGTATCGGAACTGTCGGCCCTGAAGCCTTTAAGAACCTTCTAACGGCTGAAGAACTCGAAAGCTTCTTCAGCATTGAAGAGTTCGCGAAGCACAGGGAGCTTACGAGCAGTGCCTTGCAGCAGGCATACTTGGCCCTGCAGGCCATTCCATTTGCCATTAACCCGGAGATGGACCCTGACGTTTCGCAGGCTCTGAATAGCGAACTGGGAGTCGCGACGAATGATACAGATAGTAAGACAAAAGAGGCTCAATGGGCATTGCAAATGTATCGGGATGTATTGCGCCGCGACTATGGAGGCTTGCGTCTTGTAAACAAAGAACACCTTCCACTGGGCGTATTAACACTGCTGCGGAGTAGAGCAGTTACATGGACAACGGTTCTATAGGCTCAGTGGCTATTATTAGCATAGCTGTACATCCATTCACGTTTTTTTTTACTGCGAGGGAACTCTCCTTGTGATATTTCTTATTAATGAAAGTAATATCTTCACTTAAATGAAGTACCTGACACTTATGCGCTGGCAATTATTCTCTTTTTCTTTTTTCTTTTTTGCAGGTAACCTTCCCTTTGTAGCGGAATGTGCCTGCTGCCATTGGCCACGTGCCGGGGGACATCAGTCCGGATCCGTCCCACCATCACGCGACCCCGTCGCATATCGACACTCATTAAGACCGCTATTGTTTCCGTTCATTTCTTTCTAGAACTCATGATGTAAGGTAGTATTCTTGTTTCTAGAACCCCTGCCAATCATCAGCGATGCTTGACCCAGATGTTTCGCATTAATCACGACCAACTCAGGGATCGGCGTCGAATGCAGTGATCACAAAACAATTAAGGACAAGTAGAAAATCTCCTGACGACAGTTTTCCCTACATGAACTTCTGCTCCAACGCCAGGTGACAGCCCCTTTCTTGAGCTCTTTTGAAACGTCCAGCAAATAACGCGTACAGTTGAGATCCACGTGTGACAACCACTGATTGGCTCATGTGTAATTAATCACAGGTGGTTATTTTTTAAGGTAGCATTTAGATCAGGGGACGAAAACACAGAAGCACAAGATGTGCGCTGGATCAGGACAGCAAGAACAGTGAATACAAATATGCAATGTCCGCCTCAGTCTTTTTGAACGGTTCAGATCATCTATGGTCTACCGCGGCGGCCGGACATCCTCACGTACTTAGATTTGCCATCTTCTTGATCAAATCAGGCAAAAGAAACATTCTAACTCTTTACGATTTTCCAAGCCAATATGAAGGTCTCTAGTTCGGTATATACCTGTCTACTGGGCATCCTTACCCAGCATATTACACAGTCCTGGGCTCTTTCCGGAGAGGCAAAAGCGATGGTTGAAGACTCTATGGAGTGGATGGACAGGTTTTACGATCCAAAGATAAAACAGCTCTATGACCTGGAATCTAGAGCTGCGATGAACCATGAGACATTAGCCTCTACATGGTATGCGGTCGGACTACTTGCACGGAACGGCGACGGTGATGTTTCGAGAGCTGAGGATGTCATCAACTACGTTATTAAGGACCAGCATGACAATCCCAAAGACTTGTGGTATGGCGGCTATACGCGAGAGCCAGAGGAGCCAACTGTTGGAACACCATGGTACCCGGCCCGTATGTACGGATCGTGGGACCCAAACTGGCGTGGCTTCGTCGGTCTCAGCTTCATCACGATATACGAAGAGTTCGGAGACCTGCTGTCTGACGATTTGAAGGGGCTTATGCTTGAAAGTCTATACAACTGCAGTATTGGCGACTCATACCGAGAGGGTGGTGTTAACGGAGATAACCTCTATCCATCCTACAGCAACCCTGCAATCATGCGCGCTATTGGTACAAGCTGGACCGGTCGCCAGATAGGTGACGATAATATGACACAGGCTGGGGAGGATTATGCGAATAAGATTATTGATCTCTTCGACTTACATGACACTCTTTCTGAGTTCAACTCAGCGACATATACCGGCATCTCACTCTTCGGTCTTACACTGTGGTGTAGGTATGGTCATGAGGATAGTATTCTCTCCCAAAGAGGTCCGGATCTTCTACGCGGTGTTTGGAATTACACATCGCAACTCTGGAATCCACAGATGCGAAATCTCGCTGGTCCGTGGGACCGTTCTTACTCATTTGACATGACCAAATCTCTCGGCATCCTGTCTCACTTTCTCGCACCCATCATCGGTAGAAAGGAGGCAGGTGTATGGCAATACCCGGAGGTCATGAGCCACGCTCGTGACTGGGCTTGGGCACCACTTATCGCCGTCCACTCGGACTTCCACAACTCATTGCTCTCTGATGATCTAAAGGAGTCGCTGAAGACACTTGATGGAGAGAGGACATATACAGGCAAAGCCTACTATCCGCCATACGACCTTGACGCTCGCAACATCACGACGTGGCTCAGCGAGTCCTTGATGATCGGAGCTCAGTCTTATCGGACCAAGAGTGCAAACGGACCATCCAATAACAAGGGCCAGTTCCATCCCGCTGTTGCTCATTGGGCTTATGGAGATGACAATATCGGATGGCTCAGTGTAAGTCAACATAGCTCAGATTTTGTTCCTACGCCTTTACTGACATAACACACAGCTCCGTTCTACTGAGGCCCACGTCCTGATGGAAGTCTCACCCAAGAAGCTGAAGGTAACTTACCCTGAGGGGACCAGCAGTTCTGTTTTCACCTTTGCAGTCTCTCCCTCGGTTGCAAAGAGGGATGTCCAGTCTTGGGCCGACATTGAAGGAATCACAATCTCTGTCTCGGGAAATGCAGATCCCGTGCCGGAAGTTACATTTGCTGGCCGGTATGGTGGTGCGGGAAATCCGATCTACGATCAAAACTATTGGTCTATGGTGCATAGAATGTCTGCTGATTTTGAGGGCGCTCCCGAGATTATCATTGAGTTCGAATGAGTTGTTATCATGGATTGATAAGCAGCGACCTGCTCCTTGCATTGAGCCATTGGTGGGGTAGGAATGAGATTTGTTGGGCCTTTGTTCCTGGAAATATCCAGGGTAGCTGGGGCGATTTTATCTTGCCTCTTTGATGTACGTCCATTTAAGGCTGTGTTAGATTTTTAAAGTATTCTTCTGTATCTCGGATTGTGTTTAATATAGATGCATGCTTCTAACATAAATGAGACTGTTTGCTTCACACGCAATAGAGTGGTGAAGTTTCTTGAGAGCGCAAATTTATTTGACCCAGTAGGCGATTAGAGCCAGTACGTCTCTTTGTGAAATTATCGCTCTGTACGTTATGCATTGTGAAAAAACAATTCTGTGCCTACTAGTTTGGATTTATCTTCTCAGTCTATTTGAGCTTCAGTTGAAACGCTGTGTCATTTATACTTAGCAATTTCTATGCTAATCGGAAGATAAAACTTTGTCAGATGCTTAAATGGAAATGCCTTCCAGCCTGGGGATATTTCGCGCCCGTGCACCAATGTGACCTTGTTATCTTATCACACCCGATTCGATTACTGGGTGGAGACACTGCGTGTTTTCACGTGACCGGACTAACCACGCCCCGAAAATCCAATCACGTCGATTCCACTTTATCTCCACTCAATCTCTCCAACCTTTCCTCCTTTCTATTTCGTCACGATGTTATGTTACGCCACGCCCTCGCTTTCTTTATCCCAACTTCACGCGACGCCCGTTCATCGCACTACCGCTATATAAAATTCCGACTTATACCCACGCGAACGAGTTCCGTGGAATAATCGGGGCGTGTAGAAGGGACCTGCTCGGATCTCACAGTTCACCTGGAGTCCAGGGCCGACTTCACAGTTCACCTGGAGGTCACTGGTCACCTGGCAGCGAGGCCGGTTTTGTGTTGAAGCGGTGGGAATTGAGATTGTAGGCGCGCTGAATACTGAGACCGTAGGTGAGTCCAGTCCTATCAAGTGTGCTAATTCCATTACCAGTGCGATTTCTCTTTGCGACAGCTATGACGACCTATCTCGAGGGCGTTACAGCTGCTTTTGAGTACGAATATAATAATGCAACGCAATTTTTGACGAAGTCTGATCCTGAACACCTCCCAATACGATTCACGTTACATGTTGACGCAACATACGCGCTTTTCGATGTAATAATACCTATCCGCTACAAAGACAAGACCAGCTCCAAGACCATCAATATCCGCATCAACCCCTCATCCATTACATGCCTTAGACATTCGAGCCAAACAAGTTCACCCGATGATATATTCCCCTCTGCGACATGCCTCGAGTTGGAACTATCCGATGCCGTTGATATCCTTGTACCAAGTCTTGTCAAGGAGCCGGTTGCAGTAGCCAGGCCACGGTCTGGCAAGATTCTTACTTCCTTGTACGAAATATCGCATGTATTGAAGCTACGCATTTACATCCCTGAGTCTGCACTGTCTATAGACCAGCTTGATTCCCTCAGCACAGCAATTGCGCAACGGAAGTTAGAACCATTCTCTGACCCAGACCACGATATCTCGCGAATGTTCAGTGGCAGTGGCGCCAAAGCGACGACTCTTCCTGCACCATTACCTCCTTCCTACGATAAAGTCGTGTCGAGTGCACCCTTGTACAATGAATCCAATACCTTCGATCCCCCCAATACACGATCGCGCAAGCGACAACGAAGTCAAGAAATACTCGCCGATTCTGGTGCGATCTGGAACAAGTTGCAGAAACTTGAAGCTATGATCAAGCATTCTACCCCAACTAGCGACGAGTCACTGCTTGTTCAAGAGTTGCGCGCCGAAGTGGCTCAGCTTAAAGAACAGATCGCGACGTGTCAAAACAGGTGTACAGAACTAGAATCGGAAGTCGCGAGTTTGCGAGAGACAAGACTCAATGTGGAAGAAAACGAGGCAGTGGAATTGGCCGAGATACGAGAAGATATTGAGACACTGGATAATAGGATTGACTTTATTGAGCGTGGGAAGGATGACGTGGCGTTTGGGAATAAGATTAAGGGAGAGATATTCGATGAGCTGGCGGGGAGAGTCAAGGGTGGCTAAGTAAACAGACGATAGCAATACAACCGGTCAATCCCTGGTATCATGCGCCTCTTCATCTCATTCAGTCTAGGAGGACACTGAACACTTCAATAATAGCGTTAAAGCTAGTCCAATAGCTACAATTGAAGTAAGAGGGACGCATGGAGCCGTACAGAAGGGAACAGACGTAATCAAGGACGAGGCGATTATCGAGTCACTGGATGTGCTTTTCAAGAAGCTCCAAGATGCTAGGAACGTTACAGATGATCACCCTGACGTGGTGTCAACATACTATTCCCATGCCATTGATGCTGCTCGTGTCAAGCTTGAGGAATATTTTGGCCTCACTGATGCCACTCCTGCATACCGGTGTGCAGTTGCCCTGCATCCGGCCAACAAGCTTACTTATATCGAGCTTGAATGGAGTCACAATAGGCAATGGATCAGTGGCGCAAGGAGAGTGGTACAGGAGGTATTCGCACAATACGAGGCAGCAGCTGCGGAAGCGGACCCAATGGACGGAGCGCGACAAGAGGAGGAGCCGAAGGAGCCGGAGGAGGAGGCTGTTGTTGACAACAGTGTGACTCTTGATCCGCTTCAGCAAGCTCGTAAACGTCGTCAGAGGCTTGCTGTCACCATGACGTCGGCTACACAAGGAAAGGAGCAGGTAAAATTGACGTCTGAGCTGGATGAGTTTATGGCAAGGACTAACAAGGCTGATCTGGATGTTGAGGATTCTCTGGAGTGGTGGGTTCGCCACGTATCTGACTATCCTATCCTGTCGAAGATGGCGTTTGACTTGTTCAGTTGCCTAGCAATGAGCGCTGGGTGTGAGCGCGTCTTCCCACAGACAAACAAGGTCATCATGGGTGAACGGAACCGGCTCAGTTCGGACACAGTAGCAGCGATTAAATGCCAGAAGCACTTGCTTCGAAGCGGAATGTTAGCCTAACGCCCTCTTGGGCGTCTATAACAAGGGCCTCTTGTGAAAATAAAATGAAGGATTTATTCAAATCCATACTGGACTGAGCATTCTTCTAGAACTGTGCCTGGCCTTCCTTACCAGCGGAACCGATTCAGAGCCAGCAAGGAATAGTTCGTAGACAAGTGCGTACTGGGGAGGACTGAACAAATTCCAGTCGCCCAACGACCCAAATGATGAAACGTTTCTGCGGCATTTCTATTATGCATTGTAATGATACAATAGCCAGCTAGTATGGCGAAAACTCAAAGGACGTCAATCTAACGAGCTCAATTTTGCTATTCTTTGGTAATAGAAGTAAGTAGTCTTATACATATTTCTGATATCCGCCACTGGTCGATCAGCGAACACCAAAAAGAGCACTACTCAAATATCATTTGGCATTGTCAGAAAGCTACGGCTTGAATTTCTGTGAGCGCTTATCTTAGATTTTGGTCCTGCCTCAGCCATCCCATCTCGGCCAATTCACGATTTGAGCAAGGTCTCAAAATCCTATTCTTACGGTCGCTTTAGTGTTACTTGATGATCATCTAGGATTCTCGTATAATTACTATAATCGCTAAGGAAACACTTTTCTGTTGCTATTGCTTGGCTTGTACACCGATCTAAGGTCCTAGACAATTCAATGATGCCCTACTGAGGGCGAAGCGCAGTTCTCTCCGAGTCACTCCAGCGTCCCTGGATATACTGTCTTACAGTCTTGCCCCAGAACGCCGCCGGGACCGCCATAACTCCCATGACAATTATCAAGACGAAAATGAGGATGGTTGGCTGTAGAATATGACCCTCCTGGGTCCAAGGTGCTATGGCAGTACTGATCCCGAACCCGAACATATTTCCAGTAAATAATTGAATTGCAAGTGCTGCCGCTGCCCATCGCGGAAAGGCCTCGGTAATCCAGAGAGTAAAAGCGACGTTGCCGGTGAGATAGCTCATAATGCTAATTGCAGAAGTGATGTAGATCCAGACTGAAGGCCACTTGTTGACAAGGGCTAGACCATTAAGGAGCACGCTTGTCAGGCCGGTAATAACAGGGATAGAAAATAGAGCAAGGTAGACTTCGGCGTGCCGGATACCGCCTTTGCGAAAGGTGTAGCATCGCGTAAACCAGGAAGCGAATGGTCCTGTGAGGGGGAATGCGAGTAGAGACCCAGCAATGCCCGCGATACCAAGCAAGGCATTAATGCATTTTATTTGGTCATCGCCGAATATATGGATAAGCGCAGATGGCTGGGTCAGGTTGAGGAAGATAACACCGCTAAGGATGATGCCGGTAAGTAGAGAGACCCAAAAAGTCAGAGGGTTAAGGATACATAGGAACATCTGTCCATATGTTGCAAGCACAGACTCCCACTTGGTCCCAGGGGCTTGCGACACCTTGAAGTGCGACCATATTGACCAAGAAGAAGGTAAATCAGGGAGAGGCTTGTCGTTTCTGATAAGTTCAATTTCATCCCAACCTCCATAGACCTCAACCTTCTCAGAACTGCTCTGAACCAGGACTCGACCATCTAGTGCGACGGGAGGTCGTAGGAAGTATGTCTCAGGTACACAGAAGAGGACTAAAAGGAATGCAAGGACGCAAGGTGCAACCCAGACTTTGTATACACATCGCCAGGTTAATGCGGTATCGGTTGTGAAAGGGAGGATTAAGAGAGCGAGTTTGATGAGTGCTGAGCCTGTACACCAGAACAACGAGAGTGCGTTTGGGCGTTCGTGAATGAATGTTGCGTCGATGAGGATGAGGATGAACTGGGATTGTTAGCATGGCCTGTTTATGAGTGGATATTGACTTACCATCCCGGTTGCTGATCCAGCTGCGAGGCCTTGTAAGCTGAGGGCGGCAATCAATTGGCAGAATGACCCAGCGTAGCCAGCCCAGAGAGTCGACAGAGTTGTCAACACAGCAGCGCTAACAACAATAGGTCGTCGTCCAACTGCCGTCGATAGCGGAATGCCGATCAAGTACCCTAGTCCGGTGAAGAGAGTCATCGCCGATGACAAAGACTGAACTCCAAAAGGACCCATCGGCTGAACTCAATTAGTATCATGTCATAGACCAAGAAACCCATGTATTATACCTTATTCTTAAACTCCTCACCAATTGCCTGGAGCAACAGCCCCGGAAGATTCAGCTCAAACGCCGCCGCCATCGAGAAGCACTGCAGCGCCAAAAACCCCATCAGCCTCTTGGACCACGACCACGTCAGCGGATCGCGGTACGATTTACTCGGAATCGGCAACTTGAGCACGCGCCCGTTGGAAGAGACGAAGAAAACACTGCCAGCAGTGGGAACAGACTCGCGCTTCGCCGCACCGATCGAGCTCGCCCTTGACTCCATGAGGAACCAAAATGCACGTAAAAGAAAAACACAGGCTAATGGAGAGCCAAGAGATCACGACCCTGGGGGGAAAACTGGATCTTTATTCTATTCTACCCTGGGAAAGCTTGTAGCAAACAAACTTTCGGTTCGACGGAGGCTTGGTTATATCTAGGCTTGAAACGATTAGGTTCTGATGTCCGTTGGGCTAATCGTAATTTACTGAGCGGGCGTTCTTGAGCGTTAGACGCTAAAGAGCGGAGGGTATTTATTGGTGGTGTTTTATATTTAAGTTTGTTATAAACCAGGGGCTTCCTGATTCCAAACCGACGGGCCAATGGGAAAGGTTCCTGCATCAATTGCCGGAGACTCTGAGTCGACAGCAGCATGTCATAAATTAATAATTCTTGGCTTAGAAAGGAAGGACGTTGCGTTTCAATGCCGAAGCCACAAAAGCTAATAGTGCTGTTGAGTTCAACGGGTACTAAGGGAAGTCAATTAATACTCCGTTTAACTTTTCTAATTACATATGCATCGTCATCAATTTTTGTATCTCGATGAACAAGCCTATTGAGTAAGAGGAAGTGAAGCTGTGGATTTGAATTTGGGTTGCGACGTGGGCATGTTTCTCCCACTGCCGATCACAGCCAAGATTTGCATCAAGGTCCAAAGCCGAGCGCGACGGATGGAACGGAGATTATCCGCTGTATGTTTCGTATTGCGCACCAATCGGCAGTGAAAATAGTGATTTATAATGTAACCGCACTTCTCAAACTTAGGCACGAGACTGTGCAGTTGGAACATGCGGTACGCATATCAGCCTCGTTTACGGCAACCCGGCTGTTCCGTAGCCCGAATAACTTTCAACACGTTCCATTAATGACGCTATCTATTTCCACTTGTTGACGCGTCAACGAGGTGATAACCTCCTGTATGAAAGCTTTAGGCAGCTCGAGCCAAGTCCTTACTATTCAGCCGAATGCTCCCCTCCAGAGACGTGAATCCAGGCTCACCCAGCGCCTGCAAAAGTTAAATACATCTTAGCCTTGGCTGTTCGACATCTGCTAGATAACGCATGGCCTGAAAGTCCTTTACAAAAGTCCTGTCAGGGTTTTGCGCCTGCAGAATAGCTAGGATTTAGTCTAGATTCCACGTCTCAGCCAAGGGAAGATCCTTTCCCCTTATACATTAGGTAACAAAGCAGCTGCAACGTGAAGTTTAGCATTATCTTGCATATTAATAAAATATTCTGCTAAAAAATTGTTAGTTACGTTTTAATAGAACGCAATTTAGAACAACTTACGAGGTAATGCATTGGTCAGTAACTCGAGAGCAGTGCCACTCTATAAAGTCCTAATAAATCCTAATATAGATAGGTAACCCTAGTAGTTAATAATAAAAGGAACTCTAGTAGAGTTTTTTTAGATACTTTATAATACAGAGGGTAGAGTTCTTTTTTATAGTAACTAATTACAGTATATCTTAATTAAATATAGTATAGCTTAGATTAGCTATAATCTAAGCCTAGCTATAAAGCTAAAGGTAAAGGCTAATTTTAATAGCTTTTATTTATTACTTAACTATACTAAGGTAATAATTATTAGTAATCTATATAAAACTATTCTTTTCTTACTATTTTTTTATTATTAAGAATCTTAATAATTTACCTTAGTAAAGTTAGTAATAAAATAAACTTTAGTAAAGTTCTTTTAAAAGCCTTACTTTACAAGGGGTAGATATAATAGTTATAATTCCCAAGGGATAAACTAGTTTATATTAGGTTTATATTAGCAGATATATAAAGTATAGATACTAAGTATTACAAAGTATTATATCTCTAAATAGTAAATAAAGTAAGTTAGGTATATTTAGGTAAAGAAGTCTTATTAATAGCTAGTAAGCTAAGTATTTTATTTAGTACTAAGTAAATATATATATATATAATAGGCTTACTAGTATAGTTATAAGCTTTAAGAAAAGGCTTATAATTACTTAAGTAAGCTAGTAAGTAAGTTTATAGCTAGTATTATAAGCTTAGGTAAAGCTTATATAGGTATAGGTAAGCTAAGCCCTAATTAGCAAAAAATATAAAGTATATATAATATAACTACAGAGATTATAATATAATCTCTTCTCTTCTATAGTCTTATCCTTAAGACCTATATAACTTATTTTTCTAACTATTTTTCCTATATAAGTCTAACTTAATTCTATATCTATTATATTAAAGTATTTTAATAAATAAAAAGTAAATTCCCTTAATACTATTTTATTATCTTCTACTAAAAAGTAGTATAAAGCTACTAAAGGTATTATATAGTTTAAAGTTAAAGTTATACCTTATTCTTATTATAGTAAGCATAGTATAGCTTATAAAATAATTATAGGAAAGAAGAAATATAGTTTATATATTTCTCTTAATTATTCTTATAATATAACTAATATACCTTTAAATTCTTATAAGTTCTTATAGTTCTTTTTTTTAACTTTTAGTATTAATTTTAATAGTTATATATACTATAAACAAAGTAAAATATCTAAAAAAGTAAGAAATAGTAGCTAAAAAACTACTATCTTCTTATTACAAGGTACTTTATATTATATAGTATAAATTAAATAAGTCTCTTTTTTAACTAAAGACTTATATATAATAAGTAACTATTACTAGTAAAAATCCGCTACCAATTAGTATACTAAAAAGGTATCTTTGCACTGTAGGCTAGTGTAAAGGTACTTCTGCAGTACTTAGCTTAGTTATTTACTACTAGGACTCTAATTCCTTCCTCTAGGGTAAGTACTACTACTAGCAAAAGGTATCTTTAGTAGGGATATACTAGTAAAAGTAATATTAGCTATCTTTTTATAGGTCTATTACTAATAAAAATATAGGGCCTTGTAAAGCACAGTTATTCCTTTATTATATAGATAATAAAGGAATACTTTACAGCTTATTCTAAGGTTAAAGGTAAGCTAAAGCTATATACTAAAGTAATAGTAAAGGTAATAGCAGAAGAAGGAAGTAGAGATAATACTACTTAAAGTAGTAAAGATAATAGTAATAATAAAAGTAAAGGAAATAAAGCTACCCGGAGTAGCAAAGATAATAATAATAAAAGTAAAGATAAAGCTACCTAGAGCAGTAAAGAAGATAGTAATAATAAAAGTGGAGATAAAGTTACCCGGAGCAGTAAAGAAGACAGCAACGATAAAAGTAGAGATAAAGCTACCCGGAGCAGTAGCTACGGCGAAGACGGAAGTAGAGATAAAGCGACCTAGAGCAGTAGAGAAGACGGAAGTAGAGATAAAGCTACTTAGCAAAGGTGCTAAAGATAAAAGTAAAGATAAAGCTACTTAGAGTAGTAAAGAAGATAGAAGTAGAGATAAAGTGTAATAATTACTACCTTATTATATAGATAATAAAGAAATTACTATTTCTTATAGAAGACCTTAATTATACCTATTATAAGAAGAATATACTATAATATAGATTATAATAGTAGTAATTACTTAGTACTTAATAATAAAGAACTTATATAATTATATTTATAGTAGAAAAGTTACTATAGTATATTTGTAATAAAGAAGCTACTTTATATTTTTATAATAAAGAAATAATAATAGTATATTTACTCTTAAGGTAATAGTAAGGACTTGATTATAAGTATTTCTTGGAATATATCTTCTCTCTCTCTTTTTAATAATATTACTTTCTTATTAACATTAGTTTTGCGTAGCTTTACTCCTGTAACCTTACTTTTATAACCTTACTTCTATAACTTTACTTCTGTAACTTTACTTTTATAACCTTACTTCTATAACCTAACTCTCTTAATATTACTTCTATAACCTAACTCTCTTAATATTACTCTCTATTAGTATAC